AGGCCGTTTATCTAGAAAACTAAATGTAGGCGCCAGAGTACACAAAGCTTTCGTCCCAAATGCCTTAAACAGTTCGCGTAACGCGAATTTCCACTGGCTCGTAACGGCATTTCCGAGTTAGTGAACGCACGCTAAACAGCCTACTGACCTACCCGATGAGGTCGTTTACTTTAGCTTATTGTAATAAAAAAACACATTATCACCCATGGCCTTCTTCAATTCAAAATGTCCGCCATTACACTGCAAATGTCTTTTCGCACTGATATTATCCTCTTTTTTCCGGACCACATTTTATATCGTGCTTGAAAATTACCTACGGAACCCGACTCGCACTTGGTGATTTTTTTCACTATTATATACTTACAACCATCATCATTTTACAGACCATATAGTTTCATCCAATATAAAGATATATAGTTATACGAGTATCCATCCATATATAGTTAACTATAGTTTCATCCAATTCAACTGTAGCTGTGGTTCTTTAAGTTTATATAACTTTTTTATTTAAATAAAAGTTATCTTATCCTTTAAACGAGCAATTCTTGTATATATATATATATATATATATATATATATATATACAAGAATTGCTCGTTTAAAATTTTTCGAATATTTCGTCTTTGGTGAATAATTTAAGCATTTCTTCATCTTTTAATGAAATACCCTTGAAATTACGTCATGAAGATCGAAAGACCGCTGACCAGATAATGGTTCCGCTTTAATTACGGGACATTTGGGGTTATACGTAAAAGTGACAAATAAGTCTGGTCTCCCATAGCTTCGGACATAAATCATCCCATCTTTGGTTTGTTGACCGATATTTGATGAGCCAATGTCTTAAAGATGGCAACTCATTTTGCAACCCTACAGGTGTTAAAAATGTCCATGGGCGGCGGTTATTACTTAACATCAGGTGAACTGCCAGCTCGTTTGCCACTCTATCACATTAAAAAAAATCATGTTTTATTATCTTTATTCAATATAGAAGTATTAAGGCCATTTTGCCATTTTCTTGTACATACAAGAGCAATAATTGAATGCAATAAATTGCGCGCAATAATTTGTTAGACCATGCAACTCATTTATTGCTTCAATTTAATTGTATACAACAGGCAAGAAACTTGCACCGTGTAAATGGGTCTTTACACTTACATATTGTCAAAAACACTACTACTGTCAACATTATCTATAAAAACGGCCAAAAAATTATGTCTGTTTTATGGGAGCCCCACTTATTTATATTTTTTTGTTTTTTGGTATTTTTTGTTATAGCGGCAACAGAAATTCATCGTTTGTGAAAATTTCAACTGTGTAACTAACACGATTCATGAGATACAGCCTGGTGACATATGGACAGACATACGGACATACAGACAGACATCGGAGTCTTAGTAATAGGGTGCCGTTTTACCCTTTGGGTACGGAACCCTGATAAGTCCCAGTAATAATGCAATGGCTTAAAACAGGAAGCTTTAACCATCAACCTTAATGCATACAATTGCATGCATGTCATAGTTTTGTTACGCACAGTACCTTGCTGAGGAATAGTCAAATATTAACCGTCTTCTCCTATTACGATTATTAAGGGATATTTTTATGGATCATACAATCGGTGTGACTCAGAGACCCTTTTAAGTTGGCCGTGTCTACCGTGCAACATTATATCTCTGGAGCCTTTTTAGGATGCCGTACCCAAAGGGTAAAACGGGACCCTATTACTAAGACTCCGCTGTCTGTTTGTCCCTTTGTCAACAGAACATGAACCATGAACCATGATAGTTACACAGTTGAAATTTGATCTGGGTGTTTGTTTCCCAAGGAGGGTTGACGTCAGGCCAATATAGCCAAAACCGCTAACAACATGATTCATGTTGTGCCGACACCGCCTAGGTGGGATAGGGGCAGGAGGATGATGATGACTTGTATACTTGTCCTAGAGGGACTTTTTTAAAAGTTCGCGTCAAACGAAGTCATTTGAAAGAGGCTATTGTACTTTCGGATGTTGGTTAAAATGTCCAGATGCTGAATGGTTATTTGTCACAAACACAGCACATACCATTTGATTCATCGACCCATTTTTTGGCAGAACACTTAGAGCAGATCTTATTCGTGGCTACGATTTGGACGGAAGACTGTTGAGCAAAATGCATGAAAGCTGATCTGTTACTGTGAGCTAAAACTCGATCACGAACTCTAGTCGTTGACGTTTGTTATCTTTCTCTCTAATCTCGTATACGTTGGGAACGCTCAGACCTCGATTCCCTAGTGTGAATTTGTATATTTATATTATTATACTCTTCAAGCCACTGCAAACACTCTATTTGACTCTCTCCGACTTGTAAGACAATTTTCAGTTTCCGGTAAAGATTCCTCATTATGACGTATTTTTAATGTCCTCGTCTGGGAACTATTTCTAGAAAGATGAGATCTTGATCTTTTAGGCATTTTAAAATGATAAAAAAAATTAAACTTTCTCAGTATTAAATAATCTGCTAACTGTTGAACAGGAATTACCAGTATAAATGTGATTGAAAACTTATAAGAACTAATAAGTCGGTCACTAAGCTGTTTGGATAGTTAAATTACAATATACTAACATTTTTAAACTTGCAATATCTAAGGAATGGAATGTACGAACTTAATAATACAAAAAGTTTTATAAAGATATTGAAACAGTCTTAAACATGAAGTAATTTATTTTTATAAGGATTAATACAGAGATAAAAATAAACAGCCTTTGTTAGCGGCGGCATTTCAATCAAAATTTTAAAATAAAAGACTTATTGTGGCATAACTATAATAGTTAGACATATGCTGTCGCGACACTTTTTGTAAATAATGATGTGTTCTGCAAATTCGTAGTACATTATTTTATTCTATCATCAATAGTTTTCGCAGCGCACGCGATGTCAAGAATATTCTAGGTAATTTTTGTACACCTTGAGTAACATTATTGGAGTTTTAGTAAGGATCCCTAATTTTTTGAAAATATTATATAGCCCATGTCAAGCAGGGATAATGTAGTTTCTCAACAGTGAAAGAATTTTTCAAATCGGTTAAGTAGTTTCGGAGCCTATTCGATACATACCGGCTCCAGCGATTTTCATGAAATTTAGTATGTGCGTAGATTCGGGGGCGAAAAATCGATCTAGCTAGGTTTCATTTTTAGAAAATGTACTTTTATCCCTGCTTTCAGGGAATGAAAAGTATCATTCGAATACGACGGTAAATTACGCCGCAAAAAAAAAGTTAAATAGCTCGGTCGGTAATCGGGCGGCCCCGAAACAGAAGGCCGTGGTTCGTGTCACGATCATTTACACATTTATTTTTTTTACTTTTTTTTCTATTTTTTTTTTTTTTTTATTTCCAAAATACATGATTTACCAAAAAACAGAGCAAAGCTCGGTCCTCCAAGTACTATTAATTAATAAGTGAAGCTAAGCGCATTAGCGAAAGTTGCATCCAAATCGGATAAGCCATTTCTGAGACTAACGTACAAATGCACAGACAAACACAAATAAATTTAACAATCATTGTTTTGGGTTCTACTGCGTTGATAAAGGCCCCCAATAATTGTATTTTTCAAAAAAACTTCCATGTTCAGACAACGATCAGTTAAATTTTTCTTATATGTGTTGACAAGCACTTCGCTCGTGACATCGTCTGCGAAAATTGTGACAGCTCGGCTAATTTGCATGATATCAATATAACTTATATACTAAAACCTTCTACACGCTGACGAAACACGCTGCATCTTATGGTATAAGTACTATTTGTTTATATCGGTTCAATAGTTTTCGCAGTATAACTAAAAACAATAATGGCTCTCCATTTAAAAGTATCTATAGATATATTAATATAGATTTAGCATTGGTATGCGTATTATTAATTGATGAATTATAATTATTAATTACACACTTTTTATATACTATTCAATTTTATTTATGCTTTCGTTACATTAAGAAATTCGCTCACACATATGCCACTGACCGACGCGTTTTACACACACGGGTTTCTGCAGATTGCCAGCGCTGATCATCCCAATTGGTCTAGAGAGTATCAGCTGCATGCTGAGCAGCTGACTCTAACGACTCAGCATTGCAACGCTCATCTTTCTATATGTAATACAATTTAAAATAAAAGTATACTACTTCAATTTAATCCTTGTTTACAATTGTCTTCGGGGAAGCAAATTCCGGTGGTAGGGCCACGCAGCAGCCTCGGTCGTTGCACGAATGTGCAGGCTCGTCCGGGTAAGTACCACGACCTCACAGAAGACCGGCGTAAAGTGGAAGTATAATACTTTCGCGATTCGTCTGGTGAGTGAGGTGGCCGGAGCCCAATTTTTAAAAGGTTTTCAACGAATCTGCAAACCGTGGATGTACTTGGGCGGTGGTATTCACTTAACATCAGGTGAATCACCTGCTCGCTTGGCAACTTTTGACATAAAAAAAAAATAAAGCAGCAAAGACAATATAACCACTACGATTTAGTAAGTAACTGATTATTTTAATGCGATTTTTCTTTTTAATTATTAATTTTGCATTGAGAATTCGCTTTAACATAATAGATCAGAAATAAATTTTAAATTCTTATTTTATCATACTACAGATTAAAATATTTTTACTAATTTAGTTAGGTTCTTTAATATAATTTTGCAATGCTTCTTCTTATTTCATTTTGTATTTAATGCACCTTCTTAAACTTCTCTGTGCCACCCAAATTCTGACTGGTAGACTGGTATAATTCTGATGACATTAAGTCCGCCTCTGTACATATTTTGTGTGTTATAATATAATATAAATAATATGTATAATAATATAAATAAATAGATGTTTCTTCATCTCCTCGGAATGCCATCCTATACGTTGCCACTCTAGCCAAATAATTGCCGCTCGATAAAACTAATTGCCAATCAAATCAATCTTTTCGTTATATCGAACCATTGTTAAAAAATTTAGTCCAAGCTAGTCCCGCGATCGCTGAAGGCTTGAACCATGAACTCGGGACAAATTATTGTTTTGTTCAACATATTCCAATACATCGCGTGCCCATACTCGCCGGTAAGTTCATGATAGTAATAATTAATACACCCCACAGCTGGGCAAAGTTCCCTCTGTCAAATGTTTTCATCATTTCTGTAATACTTGAGGTGTTTTCCTATTAAAGTGCCGTTTTGGAGTGTTTAAAAACCATCTCCTAAACGGTGTCAATACTGTATGAATCATTTACATCATATCCATAACTACAAATATATTTTCTTGTATTCCATTTTAAAAAATTGCTCACGGAAAGCTTCAGTGACGATGACGCGAGTTCCATGAATTTTGTTCACCGAAAAAGTACACATTTCCATAAAAAAAAGTACACATATACATGTACACGGTATACAATAGCCCATGGAAATCGTTCGGTGACTATGACGCGAGTTCCATGAATTCTGTTCACCCAAAAAGTGCTCAAAGCGCCAAAAGAAGTTTTCACTCCAAAAATATTTCGAAAATATGTGAAAATATGCAGTTTTCTCACGATTTTTTCCTTTATCGCTGAACACGTGATCAGTCAGTACTATAATAAACAATTTAATTGATGCCGGCACCGGTATTTGAACTCAGGCTGCTCGAGTAAAAAGAATTAAAAGCCAGCGCCGAACATTGAGCTATAACGGCTGTTAAAATGTTGAATAGTATGAAGAGAGAAATTTCCTTACACTATACAGGGAGGCTTTTCTAAGTGTATCTATTTTTTTCATTAAATCCTAGACATAAATAATGTTATATAAAAAATGATAAATATTTTAAATCACTCGTAAGTAATTAATTACATTCATTTGAACTTATCTCAAAAAGTGCGTGATTTATACGCAACTCATTTATTTTACGCGCGATCATTCATAAATAATACGCACACAAGTTCGTTTGTGTGCGTGAACAGTAAAATTTAGGTACCTATTTGTGAATGACTATCGCATTGTCAACAAGTTCTGTTTTTTAGGGAATAGAATGGAAATAAAAACAATTTTTTTTTTTGAAAAAAAATTTTTTTTTTTATTTCAATAAACGATTATACTACCGAGTCTTAACCTCCTGTGTAAACGGCATCTTTCAAAAAGCCTCCTAAGCCTAATAAGTGTAAATATACTTTCAAGTTGCTAAAAATATTCCTTTGTGTTGTCCCGTTATCCTGTTGAGTTTATCGTTGAAAGAAAGCATCACGAGGAAACTGGAGGAAATATTTTCGAAGGAATAACAAAAAAAAATGTGAAGTCCGCCAATCCACAGTGGGGTCGCGTGGTGGACTATGCCCTGATACCTAATAGTACAGAGGAGGCCTTGGCGACGGACGACCTAATTGGCAAAGTGGGTAATGACCCTGCCTCTTGCGCCAGAGGGTGTGGGTTCGATCCCCAATACTGGAAAAACATTGTGTGATGAACATAGTTTTTATCTAGTGTCTGGGTGTTTATTATATGTATAATACGTATTAATTTACAAAAGAAATGTATGTTTAAGTATGTGTATCAGTTGTCCAGCACCCATAGTACGAGCGTTGCTTAGTTTGGGATTAGAGAACGTTGTGTAAAAGAAACGTGGCGTAAACATTTATTTACTGAACTTTTACTTTGCCCAGCTGTGGGAAATATATAGGATGTTACTTTACTAATATAACCTGGCGAAGTTGGGACTAACACGTCGATGACTTTAATGGCCACCTTCCCAGGGTGGTGACGAAGTGCAGGCCGGGAGTGTGCTGTTGCCGGCATCCAGGCGTGGGCGGTACCTCGCTAACATCATCAGGAGGCAGGCTGTCGTAAGTGTCACCGACAACAACAACAATAGCCTAAGTAGCACCTATTTAGGTCCGAGGGATCTGCACATCAATTTTTTTTTTAAATTTACGTGCTATGCTTAACGCCGCGGCTGGTGACAAGAGAGCTGGTTCATTTCTCGCTGACAGGTTAAGCTTAACTATTCAGCGAGGTAATGCAGCTAGCGTTATTGGCACCATGCCGCGTGGATTAGGTTTATTAGATGATATGTAATTTTAGATAGATGGGATAGGTGGGATTTTGAAAAAATGAAACAGCATACTTGAGAGTCCATTCACACTCTTGGTGCCTGTTGCCATGCCATTCTGATGTTCTTGGGATGTTTTATTGTATGTGTCTTTTTTTGGTAAATAAATGTATTTTCTTTCTTTCTTCTTTCTTCTATAAATCTTGTAAATATTAGATAACACCTCTATTATACTGTGGTAGGGCCACGTAGCAGTCTTCGTCGTTTTTAGGGTTCCGTAATCCGTACTCGAAGAGTAAAACGGGACCCTATTACTAAGACTCCGCTGTCTGTCTGTCCGTCTGACCAGGCTGTATCTCATACGTGACTGATAGTTAGGCAGATGAAATTTTCACAGATTGTGTATTTCTGTTGCCGCTATAAAAACAAATACTAAAAAAACAGAACGAAATAAAAAAATATTTAAGTGAGCGCACAACAGACATGATTTTGTTGCCGTTTTCATACACGGTACGGAACCCTTATGGAACTCTTCGTACGCGAGTCCAAGCTGCACTTGGCCGGTTTTTATGTAACACTAGCTGTGCCCGAGGCTTCGTCCGCGTGGAATTTTAATTAAAAAGAATCTAAAATAAAAGTAGCCTAAGTTACTCCTTATTACATCAGCTATCTGCCAGTGAAAGTCCCGTCCAAATCGGTCCAGCCGATTCGGAGATTAGCCGGAACTAACAGACAGGCAGACAGACAAAAGTTGTAAAAAATAATATTTTGGTATATGTACCGTATACACATCCATATGCATTTAGTAAAAAGCGGTTATTTGAATATTACAAACAGATACTCCAATTTTATTTATCTGTATAGATAATTTGGTTTATACGGAACCCTCAAAGCGCGAGTCCTACTCGTATAATATGTTCCATCTTTGTTCCATGTATGCAATCTGCACAGATAAAATTTTAATTGATACTTCTTTTTTACAGGACGGAACAGGCATAAAATTCAACAAGGATGCTGACAGGGTGAGTGGATCTTGACGGATTGTTGTCTTATAGTTTCAAAGATTATCACTACATAGTATAAAACGAAGTTATCCCGCTGTCTGTCTGTCCCTAGGTATGCTTAGATCTTTAAAACTACGCAACGGATCTTGATGCGGATTTTTTTACTAGATAGAGTGATTCAAGAGGAAGTTTTATATGTATAGTACATTGCACCCGTGCGAAGCCGGGCGGGTCGCTAGTTACCTATATAAGATTCGATATAACCAAGAACCCACGTCAAAAAAACACAGACTTGATGACAAAACTAACACAACAGTATTCGCTGTAACACAAACAAGCCTGTCACATAGGGTAAATAATTCTAAGTACAAAAGCAATTAATTCTACTTTTGGCGCTAAAATATTAGAACCGCGTGTTTACCAGAAGGTCGTGTTGATAATAGTAATATTGATAAATAACTATATCAGACCACGTCATAATAACCAACTAAAAAAAAAAAGAAAACTAAAACACCTAATGTAACGTGAATACCGCCGACCATGGACATCTGCTACCCCCGAGGGTTTGTAGATACGTTGACAGCCTTGTAAAAAGTTGACCCCGGCTACCTCACCTACCAGACGAAACGCGAAAGTGTCATACATGCGCATTGGACAGGAGGGAAGGGCGCAGGCTGTTCCAGGATACAGATTACGGCATATACCACGCCTAGACACCACACGACATGGACGCGGAGTGGGGGTTGCGTTTTATATAAGAACGGAAATAAGCTATCGCGTAAGAAGCCATCCTCAACGTCCTGTGGTAGAACAAATGTGGATAAGCCTTAATAATAAAACAAAGAAATTACTGGTTGGAACGGCATACCGCCCACCCTGGCTTGATCTCGACATATTCCTGGATGGCCTTACAGACAGCATGTATGCTCTAGCTCCATACGATAACATTATTATATTAGGTGATTTTAATGTAAACATGCTAAACACAAACAATGATAAAACAAAGAAGTTAACAGAATTTATTCAACACAACAACATGGTCCAAATAATAACTAAACCAACACACATGGTAGGGGATAGTGCCACACTCATAGATGTTATATGCACTGATGCTCGGTACCGTAACATATATGTGGATCATATAAGTGAGCTAGGCAGCCATTCCTTCTTGACATGCGAGATCATTTTTCAAAAGGAAAAGGTTGGAAGGAGAGTAGTCTTATTCCGTCCCGTGAAAGACATACATAGGGACTGTCTTGAAAAAGACCTCGGAGCGATCCCATGGAATTCATTATGTGAGTTACAGGATGTAAATGAAATGGTACTCTGCCTCAATAACTTTATAACTGAGCTATTTGATTTGTACGCGCCTGTCAAAAGAACTATTGTTAAATGTAAACAAACACCTTGGATTACGGATAATATTAAACTTATGTTTAAGCTACGCAATAATGCTCGTAAACATTACCACCAAACAAAAATAGAAGCACATAAGAAATATTACATTGATTTAAAACATTTAGCAACTTCTGCGCTATATAATGAAAAAGCACCGTTTTTTAAAAATCATATATATAAAGAATAATAATTTAACCAACGCCAAACACATTTTTCAAGTAGGGAAAAATAAAGTATTTAGAAGAGAAAAAGTATTTTTCGACATTTTATAAAAGCTTTTATTATTTATTTCTTCTCTTGAAGACTCATTTTTGTCGGCTTCTAGCACACTGCCAGTTTTTCAGTATGCTCAAAAAGAGTATTTAAGAAATAGAGTATATTCACATACTTTATTTTTATGCAAAAGTATTAAGTACTAGCTGCTACCCGCGCCTATGTCTGAGTAGAATATGCTGAAGGCGTAGAATTCAAACAGAAAGACAAAGACACATAAAATATGTACATATAATAAATTATAGCCTATGTCTTATTCTGATGTATAAGCTATATTATTGTAAAGTTTCATTAAAATCCATTCAGTAGTATTTGCGTGGAAGAGTAACAAACATCCATCCAAACATACAAACTTTCGCCTTTATAATATCAATAAGGATGCCTGGCAACCCTAGTTGCAACCCCACGACAGTTTAATCCATCACCCGCCAGATAAACGCCGAGGCGAAGAAGAAGGTGGACGTGCTCTCCGAGGAGTTGCTCCCGTACATCATCGCGGAGCAGGAGCGCCGCACGACCCTGTACAGGCGCGTGATGACGGCGATCCAGAACGGCGAGAAAGGAGTCACCATCGCCGAGCTGAGGAACAAGCCGCCGCTCATCATCAGAAAGGGTGGGCGTTGAACTGTCGAACTCTTGTCTTGGTCATCATCATGTTTAATTCCACTGCTGGATGTAGGCATCCGCCACAGACCCTACAACCCCCGGCAACCGCTACTAGTGGGGATTGTCTACTACGCCACGAGATCATCATCATGTTTGAGTCCATTGCTGAACATAGGCCTCCCTCACAGACCGCCAGGAAGGAGCCACCTCTATCCATCTGCTTCCCGCATACTTACTTGCACAGGTCGTCACCCCATCTAATGAGGGGTCGTCTACTACGCTACTCTATCGCAGCCATATCTAGATCAACGTCATGTTTAATTCCACTGCTGAACATAAGCCTCCACAGACCGCAATAAAGCACGACTCTAAGCCACCTGCATCCATCTTCTTCACGCATACTTTCTTGCACAGGTCGTTACTCCATGTAGTGGGGGGTCGTTTACTACGCTACCCTTTTGAAGCCTTGTCCAGATCATAATCATGTATGACTCTACTGCTGAACATAGGCCTCCCCCAAAGACTGCCACGGACTACGATCCTGAGCCACCTGCATCCATCGACTTCACATTTGAACCATCTTTCGGCCTCCACCAGGTCTCCTCTACCGCTGCCCAGCGAACCGGGCACCCAAGGAACCTGACGGCTACGGGGTGCTGATGTGCGAAGACAACATAGAACCGACCCAAGTAATGTACGACTCCTGCCTCAGCGCGGAAGACAAGGACCTGTACGTGGCTGAGAACAAGTACTTCTTCTGCAATCGTGAGTATTGATTTGAAATAAAAATATAAATATGTATATTCAATCAAAAATGTTTAATAAGTCTTTTATAAAAAAAAAGGAAAAAAAACGCCCTTTATATGTCCCACTGCTGGTCAAATACCTTCTATGCACGGAGGGTATTAGGACATAGTCTACTACGCGAACCCACTACGTGGATTGGCATACTTCAAATATTTTTCTATTTAATTTGCCAGCACCGATGGAATTGTTAATTTTAAGTGCTGTCTTATCACGTGCTCGGCGGTGAAATAAAACATCGCGAGGAAACCCTCCCTATTTTCGAAATAATAGCAAAAAAACGTATATTTCGAATATTTTCTGGGCGTCGCGTGGTGGACTATACTCTTATACCCTCTTTACAGAGGTGGCCTTTGCCCAGCAGTGGGACATTTAAGGGCCGCTACTTTACTTTACTTCTTTACCTCGTCCAGGCCACAAAGTGGAGGGTCCGGACCTGCCGCGCAACGGTTCCACCGTGATAGGCTGCGCGCCGATGGAGAGGACCTCGCTGAACTACACCAGCACCAAATGCGCCCTGGAGGACACTGATGACGTCGTGGTCCACTACCGCTACTACCCTGACAGAGTGAGCGACCTCTCCTAATGAAATCGACATCTAATAAAGCAACGAGTACCCGGATGACCGATCTTAGCTCGGTTTTTTTGTCCAAAAGATGGAACTTAAAAAAAAAAGGAAAAAATTAAAAAAAAAAGAAACTGTATTCGGAAAAAAAAGAACAAAGTCGTCCCGCTGTCTGCCTGTCCCTATGTATGCTTAGATCTTTAAAACTGCTCAACGGATCTTGATGCGGTTTGTTTTCTAGATAGAGTGATTCAAGGGGAACGTATACCTAAATATATATAATACATTACACCCGTACGAGGCCGGGACGGGTCGCTAATCTACATGGAGATTTTTTGAGAAGTGCCCAAATTTACACACTAGGTTCAGACTCGGTAGTATAATCGTTTTTTGAAATAAAAAACAAATTTTTTTTTCCAAAAAAATGCCATTCTATTCCCTAAAATATTAAGTTTTTTGTGCTAATAGAGTTTGTTTGAAGAAGGTTCTTCTTTTTTGTTAAAAAGCTTTTAATGGACAAGTGCAGTATGTAAGTTAATCTTGTAGGGAAGCGGGTTATTCCCGTTACAAGCGTCTATTACAGCTTGCTGGGACAACTCGGCAACAAATTGTATCAAAGATTATGGAAATAAATGACTTTTTATTTTTTATTTTTTTATGTGTTGCCCGTGCAGACGTACAAGTTCGTGACGGAGCTGGACCCTGACAGGGAGGTCTGCGACCACTGGAACCCGTGCCAGATTGGCTACATCTACTCCCTGCCCTCTCCCGACCAGGCGTTGCTGGCCAACGAACTGTGGCGTAAGTCTTGACACTCCGATTAATACTAGCCTAGGATATTATATACAAATACGAGGTAAATACAAATACGAGTAAAGTATATGTCTATAGAATGTACGTTTGCTTTTTTCTTGTTTTCTTTTATTTATTTTTCTTTAATTCATTTCGCGTATTTTGTTTTGCACCTGCGTCAAACTTTCTTAGCATTAAGTTTGCCTTTTGTTTAGCCTTAAGTTGAGGTGTAAACAATAAATTTTAAATAAATAAATAGATTACTCTTTAGATGAGTCCGTGGCACGGTTGCCAAGGTATTGGCTTCGGCGTCGGGGTCGTGTTGTCGAACCACACACGGAACAATAATTTGCAACCCACAGATAGTGGTTTCGCATCTGGGTGTTTGTCCGCGTGAAATTTATGTTTGTAAGAAGGTCCTTACTTTCGGATAATGTCCTAAAGTAAGGGCAATGTTTAAAAAAAAAGATATAAAAAAAAAAGATCTTGTGCACCGAAAGTGAGGCGCTCAAATTGCGCCAATTGGTTTAATTAATGTATGCGACACTTGAAACCGAAATTGCCGTCATAGCGTTACCATGGCAACCGATAACAACTTCCTATATATTAATCTCTTATCCTTTAAACGAGCAATTCATGTATATATATATATATAATCGGAATCTCGGAAACGGCTCCAGCAATTTTCATGAAATTTAAAATGTGCGTAGATTTGGGGGCGAAAAATCGATCTAGCTAGGTTTCATTTTTAGAAAATGTCCTTTTATCCCTGTTTTCAGGGAATGAAAAATATCATTCGAATATGACGGTAAATTTCGCCGAAAGAGAAAATGTCATAATAGCTCAGTCGGTAATCGGGCGGCCCCAAAACAGACGGCCGCGGTTCGTATCACGATCATTTACACACTTACTTTTTTTACTTTTTTTTCTATTTTTTTTTATTTCCAAAATACATGATTTACCAAAAAACCGAGCAAGGTCCTCCAGTTACCTTAGCCGTGGTTCATCATTTACACACTCTTTTCTTTACTTTTTTTTTCGATTCCAGACCATTGCTTGCTTTATTTTTTATTTTTTGTTGATCCAGAGCATTTTGTTATTTTTTTCCCTTTTTTTAAAGTTGTTTCTTTTGTGAAAAACACCACTTCATATTTTCTTATTATTAGGTCGTTAAGATCGAAAAATATTATGCATTTTTCCATTACTCAGTAATTTGTATCTAAATGTAATTTCCAAAATACACGATTTACAAAAAAAAAAAAAAGATATACTTTAAGCTTTGTACCCATTTTTACGGAAATTGCGCGGATGGAGGAGAATGCAATTTCCCACACAATTTACATAGAGAAGGAGTGGAGAATTCTATTTTTTTTATTTTGCATAAGAAAACATTAAATCAATAAAAAAAAAACATTACACACAACTAACCATATTTAAATAATTATGGTCGAATTTCCATTAATTTGGACCACTGCTCGGGCGATCACTGCTCTAAGTCAAAGTATATTTATTCAATATAGGCCTAACTTAAGCTCTTATTGAACGTCAACAAAAATCTACCACCGGTTCACTAAACTAGACCTGCACAGAGAAGAACCGGCAAGAAACTCTGCGGTCAACTAGACGTTCGGCGGGGCTTCACCCTTTTGCTGTCGACGTTCCACGCACAAGAACAAAGAGATTCGCATCGTCATTTATCATCCGTACGGCTAAGGAATGGAACAACCTGCCGGCGTCGGTCTTCCCATCCGATTATAAAGTAGGCGTCTTCAAGGCAAGAGTGAATAGGCTTTTACTGAGCTAGCGCGCTTACCATCAGCGGCTGCATCGCCACTTACCATCAGGTGGGATGGCAGTCAAGCGCTAGTCAGTTCCATATAAAAAAAAAGGTCTTGTTCTTTTTGTTATATATATATATATATATATATATATATATAACAAAAAGAAAATATATATATATATATATATATTTTAATGCAATTATACACACTTATTTGGGTATAAATTCAGCAGCAGCCAGGGTTCTTGCAAGTGCAGAGCAAGAGTCATTTCCAAACATCCTTGTCCTCTATGTATTCTTGGATATTATAGTAGGCCCTTGCCATTAAGGTAGCTTTTACAAATTGTTTCAAATTGTTTATACTTAGTTGTTTGTGGATGTCACCTATTTTATTATAAAAGTTGATGCATCTTCCAAGAAACGACTTTCTGGTTTTAGCCAATCTAAACCTCGGTACTTCCAGAGTGTCACCACGGCCCCGACGCGATGTGGATTGTTTTTTCGTAAAAAGTTGGATGTTATTACGTACATACATGATGTTCTCAAGTATGTAAAGCGACGGGAGTGTCAAAACGACGTGTCGTAGCGACTCATGTGGACCCAAGCCATAGACGGCCCGTATAGCCTGCTTTTGTAATACAAATATTGTGTCTAGACCGGATGCGGAACCCCAAAGTAAGACACCATAGGACATTATGCTGTGAAAATAAGCATAATAAACTAGTTTTGCAGTTTCCTCGTTAGTTAGCTGCCTGATTTTGCGTATGGTAAAGACGGCAGCGCTCAATTAGCTAACTTATCTACATGTAATCCCCATTGCAACTTGGAGTCAACGCTTATTCCAAGAAATGCTGTTGAATCCTCAAGGGGTAGGATTTTCTCATCAATAGAGATTCCTGATTGGTGACACAACTTTGAAAGAGTAAATCTAATACATATTGTTTTATTGGGGTTCAAAAGTAAGTTATTGGTAGCAAACCAGCCAGACACAACATCTAGAATTTCATTTGGTTGTTCCAGTGCATCTTTCCTTTTAACTTTAAACAATAATGAAGTGTCATCCGCAAACAAAACAATTTGAGACCTTTTTATTATTAAACGGTTTTATTTAGCTCGACCCGTACGGAATTTGTTTGTTTGGGTCAAAATTAGAAATTGAAATTTAAGCACCTTGCCGTTGTCAGATTGATCTGAAAATTGGTACACACATTTAATTTAGATGACAATACAATATTAACAAAATAAAACAATTTAACAAAAAAACATAAAATAAAACCGTTAAACTTAAAAGTTTTTAAACGGTTTTATTATATCCACTATATATGGCAAATCATTAATATAAACTAAAAACAGAAAAGGGCCCAGGATCGATCCTTGAGGAACGCCCATTTTTACTTTTGACCCCGTTGGCAATATACCATTTATGATTACTTTTTGTTCCCTGTCAGGAGATATGAGGAAACAAAGTCAATGGCACAATTGCGAATACCATAATATTCCAAATCTAATTCAAATATAATAATATTTAAAATTCTAATTAGACAGTTATCAATTGCATTCAATGTCTTTTTTTTTCACAAACATGTACTTCTGGCATACGGTAAAAATGTTTAGTTATTTTTCTTTTGTTACGCTAAAGAAGTATAACTTCTTCTTTTTTTCTTTCTAAGGGAATTTTACGTTTGTAATATACACTTACATACTTGCCTATAAATAAGAATAATACTTTCTTTTTTTTTACATTTGAAAAATAAATGCTACGACATCGTTAACACTAACGTTATATTCGATTACTTACAGATAACTATGGTAAGTATATAATATTTTATTGCTCTATAGGTAATAATGCGTTTCAAATATATGTTACTATAATTGCTATTACTCTGACTTAACGGTTTTCGAGAAACACCAGAGTGCCCTTTTATAAGATTCATCGTGAGATTCTACAATACATATTCTTCATTGCAAGACATATTCATATGCGAAAAACCGCCGCCGATGGGATTCAACAGCGGAGTAATCTGTGTGTAAATTTATGCAGAGATTGTATCTAGAGAACTCGACGGCGCATTTGATAATTATTAGCTTCGGCAGAGTCGTGGGTTCGATTCCCCGCGACGATTATTTGTGTTGCCTGGGTGTACGTCAAGGAGAGTTGACGGGTTGTGACGGTCGCAAAACCTAGCCAATAACATGATGATTCGCATTTTGAGGGATATAGTGAGGTGTAAAGAGTGTTAGCAGACGCATTTGATAGGAAATAGTCGGGATTACCCGTCAGATGTGTTTTATTTGTGTTAAATGATAACACACTCTGGAAATGAATTGATTGCTGGCGGCTCTTACAAGTGGAATTGAATTTGACAAAGATATTTGTCAAGTTATGTTTAAAAAAAAGTCAGTGGCTTTTTCGACAATCAATAAGTAAGCCTAATTTTTCTCTATCGAATAAAGATATTCGAATTTGAGATTGTAATATTCGCGTAAATAAGATATCGTCTTATATAATATCGTCTCATATCACATACAATTTACTTCTTCGTCAATTTGTTTCGTTTAAACAAACAGTTCCGTTTTCCAGCCGAGCGTGAGTATTTGAAATTTATTTAGCTGATTACAGATTTCCATTCGAACTTTAAAATGTCATCAAAGATTCATTATTAATAAAAACAAAACGAAAAATTATTCTGCAATCATGCTCTTGATTAAGTTCCCCTTATGACTTAGTGTCGGTTTTAAAATTCTATCTACAAATAGATTTGGCTACTGAAGATAGAATTTTGACTTAGTATTACAGAGCTAATGTCAGATACCTATCGCTGGCGAAAGCTATCTGTAGATTGAATATCGAAACCGGCCGTTGGTGACCTTAATAAGAAAAAATAATCCTACCTCTGACTGGAAACGGATTTCCACCCTAGTTTTTTAATTACATTCTTAAACCTTTGGAAAGAGCCGTGATAGCTCAGTGTCCGGGCGCTCGCCTTTAATTCAATATACTCGAGCAACCTGAGTTCGATCCTCGGTGCCGGCACCAATGAAGTTTTTAACTTTAAGTGCTGACTTATCACGTGCTCCGCGGTGAAGGAAAACATCGTGAGGAAACCTGCATATTTTCGAAATAATAACAAAAAAAAATATATATATTTCGATGATATGTGAAGTCCGCCAATCCGCAGTGGGGCCGCGTGGTGGACTATGCCCTGATACCCTCTGTATAGAGAAGGCCTTTGCCCAGCAGTGGGACATGTATAGGCTGTTACTTTACTTTTATACCTTTGGAGGAATCGCTTACTTATCACTTCTACCAGTAAAGTACAGTAACAGCCTATATATATATCCCACTGCTGGGTAAAGGCCTTCTCTGTGCAGGGGGTACTAGGGCATAGTCCCCATGCAACTCCATTGGGGATTGGCGAACTTCACATATCCTCGAAATATTTTTATTATTATTTCGAAAATATGCAGGTTACCTCACGATGTACTCCTTCACCGCTGAGCACGTGATAAGTCAGCACTTAAAATTAACTATTTCATGGTGCCGGCACCGGGAATTGCTCGAGTATATCCTCATATTATTTTCGTTATTATTTCGAAAATATGCAGGTTTCCTCACGATGTTTTCCTTCACCGCTGAGCACTTGGTAAGTCAGAACTTAAAATTAACAATTTTATTGGTGTCGCCACCCAGACTCGAAGTCCCTTGAATTTATTGAATTAAAATCGAGCGCCCGGTCAATGAGCTATCACGGATTTTTTTCTTCACTGCCACCTCTATAAAAATAATATATACTCACTTTCGTGTCTTCCTTCTTCCAGGAGTTGACGGTGAGAATATCTTTGTAATATAAAAGTAGCGTACTCACTATATCACGCTTGGACGAGAACTCAAATATAGAGATCATTATCAAGGTTCTACAAATCCTTGGCCCCTTGACATTCAAGTCCAGGATCAGCTACAATTAAAACCTAAAACAAAACCACGCAACGGCCTGCACTAGCACGAATGGGCTGGCCCGTCCGGGGAAGCAACACGACCTCACAGAAGACCGGCGTCGAGTGTAAGTATTACACGTCTGCGTTTCGTCCGGTGAGCGAGGTAGCCGGAGCCCGCTATACTAAAAGGTAGAAGCCCAGTTACCCAATCATGACTACCAACTGTTAATAAAGTGACCATGATTACCATGACCGACCTCAGATTAGCAAATTCAGACCGCTAGAAACAAGTACCGGCAGGAATATCTGTTCTATTGTGCCTGCGTTACGAATTGAGTCGCCGGGCAATATGTAGTCAAACAAACAAATGTAGTCAATAAGAATGTGCAACGCCTTGTGCCTTATAGATAGTTGATGACTTGCATGATATGAAATCTTACCGTGACATTCGTTGATATTGACTCCCTATCGCACATCGCTATGGCTCCATAAGTGCGAGCGAGACAGACTGAGTCGCTGGGATTTATTGCCCATCGACTCGGTACTTAACGCGGCGACCGTAATATTGTGTATAATACCATATTTTATACAATTAATAACTTTTCGTACTATTGTTCTCAGAATACGAACGTGAGTAGCTTTTCTACGCTTTGACCGAATTGTTGAAATTGCTTTTTGATATTAAGATGAGACGGATTGATCGCAAAACTTTATCTTTTCAGGCGACGGTAAGCTTCAACCTAAGTATACTTATATTCGTAAATGTTGCGAAAAAACATTCCTCATTTTTCGAGGTCATTTCGCAACAAACGTTTGAATACGTCGAACTTGATAGTCGCAACAATAGAAATAGCGGACTAAAACACTACATAAGTACAGGGGAATGAAACAATTTTAAGTATTTCATCGCATCTAAACTGCTTTCAAATTCCGCAAAATTTAAAGGCGTGCTCACTGGGCAAACTGCTGGGAGTTTATAGACGAATTAAACTCAACAAAATTCGAAAATAATTTTTTCTCAACCAACTTTTAGGAAAGCTTTCATTCATAACATCAAAGATATCTAAAGAAGTAAAGTAAAGCATGAAAACAATAGTAGAAATCTGCTATTGGTTTCATGCTTTAGTTAACTGTTATTTTGATATCTCACTGCTATTTATTAAGAAAATACTAACAACATACTGATCCGTTACAGAAATTGTGCCACGTGAGTTTACAATTTTCTTTTATTATAATGGATTAAAATTACGTTTTTCGGGCTTTTTCTTTAATGTACATGATTTATATTGTAATAATAATGTAATAAATATCTGTATTATTCGTGCAGCAATACCTGGTAAGTGTCCGAAGCAGAAGTATTCTTATTTTATCAGTTACCTAGTCTCCATAGTACATGCTTTGCTTAATTTGGGGCTAGATAATGTTGTGTAAATTTTTTTAAAACTTATTTATTATTTATTTCTTCTTCTTTTTCTTCTTGTTAAGCGTGTGTTCGCCCACCGTTGGGCATACGCCTATGCAATTTTTTCTCATTTAGCACGGTTATACGTTTTCTTTTGCAGTTGCTTTACTATTTATTAAATAGCTGTAATAGGTCAGCATTTATCTATTTATAAATAACGTCACTATTCCAGAGGACAGCCTGGAGGAGTGGGTGCCAACGTCAGCCAGGAACTACACCAGCAGCCCGAGGAGGCTCACCATCCCTGATGGATACGAGTTCCACCGCATCAAGCATTCCAGCACCCTCCGGAACACAGCCAACGTCAGTAACACCAACGACTAGACTAGAGACTAGAGGGAATCCAGAACCTGTAGATTTTATACAGAAGCAATTTTTAAATGAAACTAATTTTGCGGATTTGCGTTTATTGTTAATTTTAATTCCTAACGTTTCGAACCCTATACAGCGTTCATGGTTACGGGACAGACTGAGGCATTGGATGTCTGATTGTCATAGTTAACCCGGGCTACCGTCAATTATTGAATTATCAATTTTGTGTCCGATCTATGCAGAAGGAGCTAATTGTATGTTGCCTTGCAAAAGTGGTTCGTTTGGGGCTTGGATTAAATTTTATTGGTGGGATCCCAAGCTGATGGTAGCACCCAACCAGTACTATAATTAAATTAGGGTGTGTTTTTTGTTCGGTAATTAAAAATAAAAATAAACGCGATAAATCCGTAAAAATTGTTTCATTCATAACGTGTAATTGCGTAAATACAAGAAATCATCATGAAACAATTTTTGTAAACTTATTTAATAAAAAAAAAAATTAGATAACGATACCGCAGAGTTTCTTGCCGTCTCTTCACTGTAAAAGTGCAGTTTAGTGAACCAGTGGTAGTTTTTGACGTTCAATAAGAGCTTGATATAAGCCTATATTGAATAAAGAAATTTTGACCTTGACTTTGTTGAAAGCATAAAATGTGAATTCATGTCGATAAATAAACTACGGCGCTAGTATTAGCAACTCTAGCTTAGTCGATTCCAATGTGGCTGGGTCACGGAATAGTGTACGCTGTTGCACGAATGGGCAGGTCGGTTCGTGGAAGTGCCACGACTCGCAACGGACTACAACTTTAAAACTACGCAACGGATATTGATGTGGTTTCTTTTACAAGATACAGTGATTCAATAGGACGTTATACAGCGTGTCGTTACCATCGCGACAATAAATGAACACACGTTTAACGCTACTTGCCAAAAATCATAAAAAAATATTAACGTTAAACAAAATCCTTAATTAAAAAAAGATATTCTTCAAACAAACTAATTAAGTAAAAAAGAAACAAAATTTGTAACATCCTATACAACTCGCGCCACAGCGTCGCATTACAAGCCTCTCCTTCTAACAGTATGTTTTGTCTCTTTTAAATTCATTCAACCCATTCATATGCTTTGTGACCTTTACAATGAACTTTACGTTACAGTTTTATACTTAAGGGTGTTCTAAAATTGTTTGTTTTGGAAAATTTAATAACTCGGTAAATATTGATGTTTAAAGAATGTAAATATTTAATACAATTTTAAAAAGTTATCCCCTATATGTGTGTTCATTTATTGTCGCGATTGTAAAGACACGCTGTATACGTATAATACACCCGTGCGAAGCCGGGTCGCTAGTCGGGTTGTAAATTGATTCACAGGCGGTGCTCTCGCCGAAGCTCTACTCTGTGCAAATTAACGGTCAGACCATCATCATCACGCTGAACTTCCCCTCCTGGTCGACCAGCCAAGTTGGCCCCTACTACTGCACCTTCAGCAAAAGTGGCAGCAAGCACGAGAAGGTCGTCAAGTTCCTGGTGCTGTGTGAGTATCTTCTTTCTATTTACTATCCACAGTAGATCGACGTCTAAGAAGAATTGGTTCAAGTTTACGTATCGACTGGTTTTTGATGTTGGGACGGTCTATCTAATTCTACAAGTGCGTTGCCGCTCCACATTTTTTTTTGTTATGGAGAAAAGGGGCAAACGAGCAGGAGCCTCACCTGATGGTAAGTGATCACCGCCGCCCATGAACACCTGCAACACCAGAGGGCTCACAAATGCGTTGCCGGCCTTTTAGGATCGATAGAAGTGGCGATGGGCCGGCCATATAGTTCGTAAAACCGAGAACCGTTGGGGAAGAAAGGTTCTCGATTGGCAGCCTCGTACTGGCCATCGGAGTGTAGGACCCGCCACTAGATGGAGTGACGACCTGTGCAAGTGTGCGGGAAGTCGATGGATGCAGGTGGCTCAGGATCGTGTTTCGCGGCAGTCTGTGGGGGAGGCCTATAGTCAGCAGTGGACTTAAACAGGCTGAAGTGATGATTCTTCTTTAATGTCATAAAGTGGCAAACGAGCTGACGTTTCACCTGATGTTAAGTGATAACCGCCGCCCATGGACATTTGCAACACCCATAGGGTTGCAAATGCTTTGCCACCCATAAATTAAGTGGGCCCCGTGTACATAGCGGACGAAACGCAGAGAAACGTCTGTACATCACGCCGGTCTTCTGTGAGGTCGCGGTACCAACCCGGACGGATCTGGCCTTTCGTGCAACAGGGCCTTCTATCTACAAGCTATGAAAGCTACGGAGCCGTGTAACTAACGGCCGTCCGTTGGATATAGGGACCGGGCATTGGTGACGATGATGAATTAATCCGGCGCTCCCCCAGCCCCCAGCGGCATGTCCATCGCGCCGAAGTCGGTGGAGCTCCTCCACGGGCAGCGCGTGAACAGCACCGTGGTGCCGTTCCGGTGCAACCGCTGCCGGCTGCTGAACCTGATGGTGCGCGCCTCCGACGGCAACGTGTACAACGTGGACAACTCCCGCTACAGGGTGAAGGAGTTCACCGACCGGTGGGTGCGAGAGAGAAAGCAATGAAGAAAGAAAGAAGAAAAGAAAGAAAGAAAGACAGAAAAGAAAGGAAGAAAGAAATCTAAAAAAAAGCAAAACGAATGTGCAATGATCATTTTTCATTTTTAAAACTGCACTCATACCTGGTCGTATTGTACTTTTGTACTGTGAAAAAAAGATTTACATCGGACCTAGTCTTGACTGCCTAAAATTATCTAAAGAAAACGTTTGATATAATTCAAGATTGCCGACATATGAGGAAACTCCTTACAGTGAATTATACACCACATACCATATTAATATGTCTAACATACCATATTAATATGTCTTTTTTTGTAAATTGAAATCGAGTTAGAATCGTAATAAAGATTACGTTGTGTAAAAATGTATAACGAAATATTTGTTTATTTTTTACTTTATTTATTGATTGTTAATATAGGATTTATCGCGTTTATTTTTACGGACCTCCCGACTTTGAGCCCTGGACATTTTTTTGTCCGTAATGACTATATTTAGGTGTTAGGCCCATTGTCATAGTGCCAGGGCTACTTCAGTCCTGTTGTATACAATTAAAGGGTTCGAAGTCGGGAATAAAATTAAAAATAAACATGCGATAAATCCGTAAAAATTAGTTTCATACGAAATTATTGCGCGCATTTTTTGCTTTATTATTGCTTGTTAATATAGGAGAAAACCTCGACTTTGAGTTTTTTGTCCGTAATGGGCCTTTATGCTATCTTCTCTATCGCGAGGTGATGCAACTACCGCTCCTAGCAGCTTGCCGCTGCAATAATGTGTGGCTCGGATTTCAAATACTAGAAACGACACGAATAAATTCAATATCAATTCACTTATGAAAATCTCTTTCAGAGAGGGTAAACAGTAAGTATAAACTGCTTATATATTATACGGCATTAATCTAGAAGATGGACTTTGAGTCGTAATTATTCACTACGAAATTGCGAACACAACTATTAAAACATGCTTGTTGTTAAATAAAGTATAGTAAAGTTGCGGCCTTTATATGTCCCACTGCTGGGCAATGGCTTCCTCTGTGTACAGAGGGTATTACGTCATAATCACCCTCTGGCAGACTCCACATATCTGAATATTACATATGAAATATTTTTTGTTATTATTTCAGTGATATGCAGATTTATTCACGATGTTTTACTTCATCAAACAGGACGCAATGAGTCAGCACTCAAAATTACAACTAACAGTTTCATTGGAACCAGTAACGAGATCAGAACTTAGGTTGCTAGATTATATTGAATTGAAAGCGAGTGCCTTATCAATGAGCGGTTTTTATCATGCACATGACCACAGCAGGATTAAGGATACCGATAGAATATTGGGACAAACCAGTTCTGATCAAACGAACGGGTTTCACCTGTAAATAGTACGTCCCTTTGTATGGAATCCTGTTCCTTGGTATGGTATGTAACCGTAAATTTGACTCTTAATATTTCTTTAGAATCATTACATACTCTCAACAAAAGTGATTTTCATACCGGATTATGCACCGATACAATTATTTATTGATGTCATGGTAAGGCGGTGGTGTACTTTATGACATATTTATTGCAGGGTGTTTTTGGTGTTCCAAAAGTTTTTACACTTTGCAATTTGCAGCCAACTACATCGTGTCGCTTTTTGGCTACCAAAAAAGAGAAAGAGTAAAAATTACACTCTAATATTTTTTTCGAAACTTCAAAATGTGTTATATTATAAAATTATTGTTTGAAACATCGCGATCCGATCTATCCTTACACAATCTTTAAATATTTTATTTTAGTACTAGTGACCCGCGCCGGCTTCGCACGGGTGCAATGTATTATACATATAAACCTTCCTCTTGAATCACTCCATCTAGTGAAAAAAACCGCATCAACATTCGTTGCGTAGTTTTGAAGATCTAAGCATACTTCTAGACGAATAGTTTTATACTATGTAATGATACTCTATTCGTTTTGTGAACCTGTCATCGAATGTTCGTTTGCCGCATGTGTATTTACGCGTTTTCCAGACGCCAGTTCCTGGAGATGGAGCTGGAGGGCATGAAGCCCCAGGACTTTGGAGACTACTTCCTGGTGATGCAGAACGGAGACGGTCTCGAGGAGAGAGTTAAAGGGATAACGGTTCTATGTAAGTCCTTCTATCGAGACGGAGGGCTGTCTGTCGAACTCTGATGCCCGGTTTCTGAAAGACTGATTTGAAAAGCCATTTGACAGCTGATTAGTTAACAGTGTTTCAGAAACCGGGTGTAAGATTCGTATAATTGAGTAATAAAGTACTTAGAAAAATACGTTAGTTATTGAAGAAGTGACACACTAAACTTAATTAATTATTTATATGTTCTATTTAACATTAATTTAATAATTTTGTATTACCGATATTTTGAATTCCTGATTATTTTATACATAAACTAATATACAAGCATGTAACGTTCCGTAACAGGTTCTTCATTGACATATTCTAACAGCTGTATTTCTCAAACTTTTTTGTGTTGTGGAAACTTTAGATAAAAATGGTTATAAGCAAGTATGCAAGGAAATAATAATAATTTTATTGCACTCAATCATAACATTTCTCGATATTTCAGCTCCAGGTAAGCCGACACATTCAATATTTTTGTTGTGCAGATCCGAACATCGATTATCCGGATATCCGACTATCTTGTCCGCTTGCCATCTTCTAACATAAAATAGAAATAATACTAGTTTTAAGACTGAGCATTGAAACAATTTTATCTTATTTCCTCCAAATATCGAGTCCGTCATAGATTAAAACAAACTGAATACCTTTCGACGCATTTTTATATACATCTTTTTATTTCTAGTTTAATTAAAGTTGCTTTAATCATTTCAATACAATGTACATTAAATTTGTGTATTTTTTTATTTTACAGAAAAAGGTAAACTTTATATTTTATGAATAATTTTTGATATACAAGATTCTTTAAACGGGAGAATTATTGAAATGGTAATTAATCTAGTATTTTATTTTATTTTCAGACGTCGGTGAGATATATTTATTTGTTAATAATTAATATTAATATTATTTTTTTTTAAATTAATTATTGTTAAATTATTAAACGGCATTGAGGCGCATTACACTGATTCATCATCATAAAAATTTGATGATAGCGTCTCGATTAATGAAACTATTAATCTTAAATAACAGAATCTGATTGTAGTACCCAACCCAACCCTCTTCTCTGTTGAAATTAGGATGTTTTCTTTATGATCATAGTACGGTCAACAAAATAAAATCTACGCCCACGAACCATAACTGCAAGACAAGATAGAATAGCACGTTCTACAAAGATCGGACACAAAATTAATAATTTAAAAACTGACGGTAGCCCGTGGTAATTATGATATTTAGACGTCCAACGCCTCAGTCTGTCCCGTGACAGCATGATGTTGATTTCATAATATAAGTAGATGCAGGGCCGGATTTTGGGGAGGGCAACCGGGGCTATAGCTCGTAGAACCGATAACCACTGGGGAAGAAAGGTTCTCGAGTGGCAGCCTCGTACTGACCATCGCGGTGTAGGACGACCCCCCACTAGATGGAGTGAGGACCTGTGCAAATGTGCGGGAAGTCGATGGATGCAGGTGGCTCAGTATCGTACTTCATGGCAGTCTGTGGGGGAGGCCTATTTTCAGCAGTGGACTCAAACAGGCTGAAATGCTGATGATGAACCGGGGCTACAGCCCCGGGCCTCCACAAAAGAGGGGCCCCCACTATAGACTCCCGACCTACTTTTCCTTTCATATTTATACTTGGTTTCACAATAAATTAATTATGGGAAAACGCGACTGAAAAAAATTGTTCATTTTATTTGGGAAAAAATTTGGGGCTCAGGGGGCTCCACTCCTTTGTTGCCCAGAGGCCTCCAGACCACTAAATCCAGCCCTTAGATGACGCATGTCCATACTGCGCGACGTTTAAAAATTGTTTCGCTTTACATTATATAAAGTATTTAAGTGAATGTGACAGATGATATACGTATACGTACGATATGGAAAGAGATAGCATTCTTCTGTTTTTTATCGATTTGGTATTTGTAAGAACGTGTTCCCGAATACCATTGAAACTAACAAATCTGGGATATAAGAGGCTTTTATATTAAATAAAAAATGAAATAATGAATAATCTAAATCGTGATTTTTTTTTCTGTTACAGAAAATGGTAAGGATTTTTTTTTACATACAGTTAAACCATACCAAAATCAACACGCCGGTCATCCAGAGTAAATATATTATAGTACAATTGAATCGACTTTTGGCGCTAAAAGGTAAAATCATTCATAATTTCAAACAATACGTCTCGTTTTTCAAGCTCAATAAAAATTTTAATCGATAGAGAAATGTTATATAAGTTCTAATCCATGAAAACCACTAGATTATGAGAAAAAAAATCAACAGTTTTATAACTTCATACAACTGAAATCCGCCATTACTTTGCGTCCAATATTCATTATACTTGGGTTTTTTTTAATTTAATTTAATCAATTTAATCTATTCTATTTTATTTTAAATTTTCGAATTGTATTAAATATCACATTATGTAATTTTTTTATTAAGTAATAAACAAGGCTTTATTATTATCTACTATTATTTATTCATAATAGGCTAATATTTTAAGTTTAAAACTTACGTTAGAAGACACAAATACACAGATATATCACATACACAGGTTTCTACTTCATGAACACGTATTATACAAATACAAAGCTAAATTAGGTTCAACATTTTATTTACTGATTTGTTAGGTTCGTGATTGCACATTTTCTGGAGAAGCCCATGGAAGAGTCAAACTTAATAATGGAGTGACATTTTTTAATATTCCTTATATTTTTTATTTTTATTTATCATAATTATAAAAAGCTTTTTAAATCTTCATCTTTAATGTAAAAAAAAAGGAATATTCAGAATTTATAAATCATTATAAATAATTAAATTGCCTCACATAGGCACATCTTGCTCTCTCCGAATTTGTTTTGTACTATGCCCTATAAACAGGGTCCGTAAAGAACTGTTTTACTAATTATCTTAACACCTTCTCGTTACTTAATGGATGTGCAATAAATAAATAAATAAATAAATAAAGCCTCACTCGCCGCCCAGTGATCAAGACGACGCGTCTCACCGCCTCCTTCGAGGTGGGCGGCCACTTCGACCGCACGATGCACTACGGCTGCGACGGCTGCGAGATCACCGACATCCTCTGCAACGGCGAGAGCGTGCTGGCCGCCGGCCGCGTCTCCATCATCAGGGTGTCCAACATGATCAGCTTCAACTTCCCCAGGTGTGCCGGTAGACGCCTCCGATCGGCGCTCCGTCCAGGGCCGGATTTTCCCGAGGGAATCCCATTAACCGCGTGATGTTTTTCAGCATTTGTAACCCCCTCCGCCCTGGTGATGTGGTGAGGTTTAAGACTAACCCCCCCACCGAAAATCACGTGTATTTTTTAGTGCCTACAAGGAATCCTAAAATTTTTAGAATATTATCTTTAAATACACGTATAAAACATAATCCACTTTTTAGATATCCAGTGATAGAAATGTAACGGCGAGTCAAGGTCAGTTTTCAGTTTAGAGATCGCTCGTTCGGCGAAAAAATAAATGCACGTGATATCTTACTACACCTACCCCCTTGTGATATTTCGTGATGAGATGAGATTTCGTTTGCCAAACCCCTCCCCCCCTTTCGAGTCGCACGTGATTAATGGACGGCCTATAGGCAAAAAGCCCGGGGCCTAGGGCGGCAAAATTTGATGGGATTTTTTTAGTAGTCGCGTCTGTCGCCTCGCGCTCCTCCGCGCGGACGGTACTCAGAAATAAATATAATAAATCAAGCGGCCATGATGAGTACCCCACCCCACTCACCAGACGAAAAAACGCAAACGTTCAAAAGTTCTGTTAAATTTAGTGAAAGTAATACACCATCGACAATGTCATGGCTCGGGTAGCGCGCTTGCTAACCTGCCGCCTTTGGAACCGTCTTGGGTTCGATTCCCAAACTTTTGTAATTTTTTTATGTAAAACGTCCTTACAACACAGATTAATGTTATCATATACACTTATGTATAGCTTTTTTGTGGTTGTTAATTATAATTTATTTCCAATTTATAAAGTTATACATGATAGGCACTTGTTTTGTAATATGGACAGTCGAGTCTTAGTAATAGGACCCTATTACTAAGACTCGGCTGTCTGTCTGCCCGTCTGTCACTAGGCTCATGAACCGTGATACTTACAGTTGAAATTTTCACAGATGATGTTTTTACAATAAAAAACATATTGGGGCTCCCATACAACAGACACGACTTTTTTTGTCGTTTTTATAGATAACTAGCTGTGCCCCGTGACTTCGTCCGCGTGCAATTTAAAATAAATAAAATTTCTAAAATAAAAGGAACCCAAGTTACACCTTTTGACATCAGCTATCCGTCAGTGAAAATCCCGTCAAAATCGGTCCAGCCGTTTCAGAGATTAGCCGGAACAAACAGACAGACAAAAATTATGTTATTTATAAAATAAATAAATTTGTAAATAATGTTATAAAAAAATTGTAAATAATGTTATTTTGGTATAAGTACCGTGTATAAATCCATATGTATTTAGTAAAAAGCGGTTATTTTAATATTACGAACAGACACTACAATTTTATTTATCTGTATACAGCGTGTCGTTACTATCGCGACAATAAATGAACACACATATAGGGGATAACTTTTTAAAGTTGTATTAAACATTTAAATTCTTTAAACATCAATAGTTACAGAGTTATTAAATTTTCCAAAACAAAGAATTTTAGAACACCCTTACCTATAAAAGCGTAACGTAAAGTTCATTTGTAAAGGTCACAAAGCATATGAATGGGCGGCCTATAGGCCTATAGGCCAAAAGCCCAGGGCCTAGGGCGGTAAAATTTGATGGGATTTTTTTTAGTAGTCGCGTCTGTCGCCTCGCGCTCCTCCGCGCGGACGGTACTCAGAAATAAATATAATAAATCAAGCGGCCATGATGAGTACCCCACTCACCAGACGAAACGCAAACGTTCAAAAGTTCTGTTAAATTTAGTGAAAGTAATACACCATCGACAATGTCATGGCTCGGGTAGCGCGCTTGCTAACCTGCCGCCTTTGGAACCGTCTTGGGTTCGATTCCCAAACTTTTTTCTGAATAATTGTTCCGTATCCATAAGTCCGTGTGTAATTTGTTTATGTAAAACATCCTTACAACACAGATTAATGTTATCATATACACTTATGTATAGCTTTTTTGTGGTTGTTAATTATAATTTATTTCCAATTTATAAAGTTATACATGATAGGCACTTGTTTTGTAATATGGACAGTCGAGTCTTAGTAATAGGACCCTATTACTAAGACTCGGCTGTCTGTCTGCCCGTCTGTCACTAGGCTCATGAACCGTGATACTTACAGTTGAAATTTTCACAGATGATGTTTTTCACAATAAAAAAAAATATTGGGGCTCCCATACAACAGACACGACTTTTTTTGTCGTTTTTATAGATAACTAGCTGTGCCCCGTGACTTCGTCCGCGTGCAATTTAAAATAAATAAAATTTCTAAAATAAAAGGAGCCCAAGTTACACCTTTTGACATCAGCTATCCGTCAGTGAAAATCCCGTCAAAATCGGTCCAGCCGTTTCAGAGATTAGCCGGAACAAACAGACAGACAAAAATTATGTTATTTATAAAATAATAAATTTGTAAATAATGTTATTTTAATGTTATTTTGGTATAAGTACCGTGTATAAATCCATATGTATTTAGTAAAAAGCGGTTATTTTAATATTACGAACAGACACTACAATTTTATTTATCTGTATACAGCGTGTCGTTACCATCGCGACAATAAATGAACACACATATAGGGGATAACTTTTTAAAGTTGTATTAAACATTTAAATTCTTTAAACATCAATATTTACAGAGTTATTAAATTTTCCAAAACAAAGAATTTTAGAACACCCTTACCTATAAAAGCGTAACGTAAAGTTCATTTGTAAAGGTCACAAAGCATATGAATGGGCGGCCTATAGGCTATAGGCCAAAAGCCCAGGGCCTAGGGCGGTAAAATTTGATGGGATTTTTTTTAGTAGTCGCGTCTGTCGCCTCGCGCTCCTCCGCGCGGACGGTACTCAGAAATAAATATAATAAATCAAGCGGCCATGATGAGTACCCCACTCACCAGACGAAACGCAAACGTTCAAAAGTTCTGTTAAATTTAGTGAAAGTAATACACCATCGACAATGTCATGGCTCGGGTAGCGCGCTTGCTAACCTGCCGCCTTTGGAACCGTCTTGGGTTCGATTCCCAAACTTTTTCTGAATAATTGTTCCGTATCCATAAGTCCGTGTGTAATTTGTTTATGTAAAACATCCTTACAACACAGATTAATGTTATCATATACACTTATGTATAGCTTTTTTGTGGTTGTTAATTATAATTTATTTCCAATTTATAAAGTTATACATGATAGGCACTTGTTTTGTAATATGGACAGTCGAGTCTTAGTAATAGGACCCTATTACTAAGACTCGGCTGTCTGTCTGCCCGTCTGTCACTAGGCTCATGAACCGTGATACTTACAGTTGAAATTTTCACAGATGATGTTTTCACAATAAAAAAAAATATTGGGGCTCCCATACAACAGACACGACTTTTTTTGTCGTTTTTATAGATAACTAGCTGTGCCCCGTGACTTCGTCCGCGTGCAATTTAAAATAAATAAAATTTCTAAAATAAAAGGAGCCCAAGTTACACCTTTTGACATCAGCTATCCGTCAGTGAAAATCCCGTCAAAATCGGTCCAGCCGTTTCAGAGATTAGCCGGAACAAACAGACAGACAAAAATTGTAAATAATGTTATTTTGGTATAAGTACCGTGTATAAATCCATATGTATTTAGTAAAAAGCGGTTATTTTAATATTACGAACAGACACTACAATTTTATTTATCTGTATACAGCGTGTCGTTACCATCGCGACAATAAATGAACACACATATAGGGGATAACTTTTTAAAGTTGTATTAAACATTTTAAATTCTTTAAACATCAATATTTACAGAGTTATTAAATTTTCCAAAACAAAGAATTTTAGAACAACCTTACCTATAAAAGCGTAACGTAAAGTTCATTTGTAAAGGTCACAAATCATATGAATGGGTTGAATGAATTTAAAAGAGACAAAACATACTGTTAGAAGGAGAGGCTTGTAATACGACGCTATGCGCGAGTTGTATAGGATGTTACAAATTTTGTTTCTTTTTTCTAAATTAGTTTGTTTGAAAAATATATTTTTTTTAAGTATGGATTTTGTTTAACGTTAATATTTTTTTATGATTATTGGCAAGTAGCGTTAGACGTGTGTTCATTTATTGTCGCGATGGTAACGATACGCTGTATATGATACGAAACCCTTCGTAGCGAGTCCGACTAGCTCTTGGCCGGTTTTGTAAATAAATAAATAAAATACGAATTCACAAAATGTCGCTAAAATGTTTCCTGTAAGCTAACATCCACTCAACCAATTCGGTGCTGTTCCAGGTTCGAAGACAACCATTCCTGCGTATACATGGGTTTCTTCAAATTGAAAGAAAGGGTCTACAAGAAGATATTGGCAGTGATAGACAGTAAGTTTGGACTAGATTCAGTTGTGACCTGCCAAATAATTTGTCATAGATATTATACAGCGTGTCGTTACCATCGCGACAATAAATAAACACACGTCTAACGCTACTTGCCAATAACCATAAAAAAATATTAACGTTAAATAAAATCCATAATTAAAAAAAATATTTTTCAAACAAACTAATTAAGTAAAAAAGAAACCAAATTTGTACCATCCTATACAACTACAACTGACTGATTCATACATTCAGAGACTTTTTCATTCGTTGCCACAGCGTCGCATTACAAGCCTCTCCTTCTAACAATACGTTTTGTCTCTTTTAAATTAATTCAACACATTCTTATGCTTTGTGACCTTTACAAATGAACTTTACGTTACAGTTTCATACGTTAGGATGTTCTAAAATTCTTTGTATTGGAAAATTTAATAACTCTGTAAAAATTGATGTTTAAAGAAAGTAAATGTTTAATACAATTTTAAAAAGTTATCCTCTATATGTGTGTTAATTTATTGTCGCGATGGTAAAGACACGCTGTATATTTTCGGACACATTTTTACAGAACGTACTCTAGTCCCAAACTAAGCAACGCTTGTACTATGGCTACTAGAAAACTTATAAACTTTTCATTTGTAAATCACTACATAGTATAAAAAAGGCGTCCCGCTGTCTGTCTGTCCCTGTGTATGATTAGATCTTTAAAACTGCGCAAAGGATCTTGATGAGTTTTTTTTTACTAGATAGAGTGATTTAAGAGGAAGGTTTATGTATAATACATGCATTGACAGTTTTTCTTTTATAGACTTATCCATTATGTTCCATAACTTTAAAGACTAATAATCACATACGATGAAAATACAAACAATTAAAGCATTAAGGCCCATTTACACGGTGCCAGTTTCTTGCCTGTTGTATACAATTAAATTGAAGCAATAAATGAGTTGCATTGTCTAAACAACAAATGGTCTAAACAATTATTGCGCGCAATTTATTGCATTCAATTATTGCTCTTGTATGTTCAAGAAAATGGCATCGTGTAAATGGGCCTTTATTCAGTCGTTCTATGCGTTAGGTTTCATTAAATTAATAGTTCATGAAGCTACGTTTACGAGAAGTAAAACTCATTTTATTTTAATTTGCAGATAACGGTGAGTGGGATTTTTTTAACTTAATCTTTTTTTTTAAATATAATGTTCATAATTCCTTGCAACGGATTCTTTGTTCCATTTACTTGTATTAAATTAACTTATATGCAAGAACTAATTGTTAATTTAAAAGTCTCATTAACAATTTTTTTTTCTTTTACAGCCCAAGGTAATGTATTTGTGATATATGTGAATACAAGAGATAATAAACTTAGTGTAGACACATTCTATATCGACTATGATTATTAATTACAGTTTATCAACTGTGGCTGGGCCGAGAAACAATGTTCACTATTGCACAAATGGGCAGGTCCGTCCGGGTAATTTTTGTTTCTTTCGTTTGTTTGATTTTTTCTAAACATTGCCCTCACTTTATGATAACATTATCCTATGTTGCAAGGACGTTTTACATACATGAATTCCAAAATTACCACGACCTCACAAGAGATCGGCGTAAAGTAGAAGTGTTACACTTCTGCGTTTCGTCAGGTGAGTGAAGTAGCCGGGGCCCACTTTATTTAAAGGTGGCAACGCATTTGCAACCATACGGATGGTGCAAATGGCCATGGGCGGCGGTTATCACTTAACATCAGGTGAACCGCCAGCTCGTTTGCACTTATTCACATAGAAAAAAAAGAAAAAATTAACAGACAATAAAACATTCTCGAGAACTATTTTACCCGTTCGTAAATTTGTTTATTTTGTTAAAAGAAAACCATATTCATCAGCATCATCATTTTAGCCTGGTTCAGTTCACTGCTGAACATAGACTCCAGAGACTACGAAGTACGATCCTGAGCCACCTGCGTCCATCCACACATTTGCACCCTGTTAATATTAAAAAGAAAACAGATATATCAATCAATTAATTATATTCATTTACATTTCAAAACGCCTTCTTCACATATATTGATATTATTATTGGTTTTATAATGTAAGACAGGCCTCGACGGAGATGACGCGGCGAACTGGACGCATTTGCCAGGGATTTGTCTGGTATAGCCCACGACAGGGAGGAGTGGAAGAAATGGAATGAGGCCTTTTCCCAACAGCGGGACACTAGTGGCTGATTACGATTACGATTTATACATATTTAATTTCAAATATTCATTTTAATTCGCGTTATCATATTTTGTGAGTGGTTTTATAGGCCAATAAAATAATAAAACCGGTTCGCCATTTTGAACAAAACGCCCGACAGCCTATCATGAACAAAATGGCCGACAAAATCTCATAAACAAAATGGCCGACAACCTCTCATGAACTAAATGGCCGACAAACTGATTGCGCAGGGGTGACTACGGTACCCGTGACAGTGGACACGCCTAAGGTCGGAGAGCAATTCGAGCAGGAGGTGTCCTACAGCTGCGCAGATTGCACAGTCGAAAAGGTTTCTAAGCTACAGATTTCTTATTTATTTTTTGTCAACTTTTCCTCAAAGATAAAACATAATTGAAGTTATACTTCTTTTGGTGCGTTTCGAAAAAATATGGGAGTAAAATTTTTATATGACATGAAGAAGTTGATTGCGAGGCGGGCAACTTCACGGTATCACCATGGCAACCGATAAGAACTATACACACGTAAGAAGTTTTACTTCTTTTTAGTTTACTGGCATTTGCAGTCTAAAAAATACATGCAAACAATACTATTTATCTGTTCTTCCAATAAAGTAATATCACCACATGCTTATATTGATAATAAAGATAACAAAAAGTGTAATAGACAATAAAAAAATATTAAGAAAAAACTATAATACTAATAATAACCATAAAAACTTTATTAAAAAATCACTATATGTAATATACATATTTTTTAATTTTCTAAATACTTATACTAATATACAGCGTGTAGTTGCGCCACGACAATAAATTAACACTTTTCTAACGCCAGTGCCAGCGCCAATCAAATTTTAAGTGGTGAATTATCACGTGCACAGCGGTGAAGGAAAACATCGTGATGAAAACTGCATATTTTCGAAATCATAACAAAAAATAAGGGGATATATGAATATTAAAATGGATATACGAAGTCCGCCAATACGCAGTGGGATCGCGTGGTGGACTACGGCCTAATACCCTCTGTACAGATGAGGCGTTTGCCCAGCCGTGGGACATGTATAAGCTGTTACTTTACTTTACTAAATACTTTCCAGGTGTTCGTCAACGGAATTCCGCTACAGACGGGCTCGAGGCGGACCAACTCTGGAACAATCGCTTTCTTCGTCGTAAGCGTCTTTAATTATATTTTACTAGCTGGCCCGCGCAACTTCATCTGCGCCAAATCTACCGGCTTTTATACAGCGCCATCTATTGGATACTTACTCAATCCAGCTGATAAATTTACCTTACACCGCCATCTGTTAAAATCTTATGGAACTCTTCTCTTATCTAATAAAAAAAATAATTTGCAATAAAATAATATTGTGACTATAAATTGAGATGTAAGCTATCTTTCAAGTTGGATCAAACTGGACACGGAGTCCATCGCGAACAAACAACATGATACGTAATTTATAGAATGGTAATGTCAACCAAAAATACCTGCGATTGTGCCCGGTCCATCAACACGATATCAGGTTTGTTCGCGAGAATCGTCCTGTCCGTGATGATGGGCTGGTCCTGATAGAGCCTGGCGAGGTCATTATCGAGTGCAGCCTCTGGATAGTACTTGTAGTACGGCAGTTTCCGATCCACGAGGCCGTATTTCTGAGCGAGCTCCTGGTGGTTGCTCCTCCTCCTCCTACTAGGTTGTGTCAAATACTCAGAGTTGGCGACAAGCTCGACAGATGTCGACGGTGCCATCCCTTAGGATGTATGTCCAATAGTTGTTCGTCTTAATAACCTGATCCTGTATCGCGCAGGCAAAACCTTCGGATTCCCCAAAGAGGTAACCGAAACTTAGCCAGTTAAGGGAGGCAACAGTATTTACGAAAGGGTGGTGTAGAGCCTTGTAGAACCTCCCGTGGAGCTCTTTCTCCTTCCATACGGTCTCCCTGTCAGAAACGCTGGGTCCTGTCCCGGGTCCTGCCGTTGCTCGTTGGCTAAGGATAGAGGGGTAAGTCCTTTATCACCGCTAATGACGTCCATGTAGATTGACTCATCCGATCTCGCCAGAAAGTAGTTACGGAGGCTGCACACCTCGCGATTGTGCATGGTGAGGGTTTATAAAGCCCCTCCCGCCATGCTTCCGCGGCAGGTACAGCCTCATCACTGACGATCTCGGATGATGCATCCTTTGGGACGTCATATTTGTGCGGACTTTTCGGTCCAGGGCGTTGAGCTCAGTTTGAGTCCACCTGAGTATGCCAAAGGTATACTGGCATGACCCAGCCGTTAAATGCGCGCGCCTTGTTCACGCCTGACAAATGGCTGTTAAAAACCTTTGTCAGACGTGCTATTACTGTGTTTGTGCGATTACTATTTTTATATTTTTAGATATTATTAAAACATTTAAAAATCTAAATAAAAAGAAAACAGAAGACTTATGGGGCTTATCAATATGGGCAATTGAGCTTATAATCTATGACATTGCTTGCATATTAGCCCAAATATTTAATACATGTTTAGACAGTAGCAAATTCCCAAAGTTAATGAAATATAGTAGAGTTGTGCCAGTATATAAATCGGGTTCGAGAGATGATGCCTCTAATTACCGTCCTATCTCTATGTTGCCGGCCTTAAGCAAAGTGTTTGAGAAAATAATGCTGGATCAAATGATAGTGCATTTTAACAAATATAAAATTTTAAACCAGCACCAATTTGGATTTACTAAAGGTAAGATCTACAACTGATGCAGGGAAAGAATTAGTTTCACATATCCTGCAGTCCTGGGAAAGCTTTCATGACACCATTGGTGTGTTCTGTGACCTTTCCAAGGCATTTGACTGTGTAGATCATACAATTCTAATCAGGAAATTGGAATATTATGGTATTCGCAATTGTGCCATTGACTTTGTTTCCTCATATCTTACTGACAGGGAACAAAAAGTAATCATAAATGGTATATTGTCAACGGGGTCAAAAGTAAAAATGGGCGTTCCTCAAGGATCGATCCTGGGCCCTTTTCTGTTTTTAGTTTATATTAATGATTTGCCATATATAGTGGAAAAAAGGTCTCAAATTGTTTTGTTTGCGGATGACACTTCATTATTGTTTAAGGTTAAAAGGAATGATGATGCACTGGAACAACCAAATGAAATACTAGATGTTGTGTCTGGCTGGTTTGCTACCAATAACTTACTTTTGAACTCCAATAAAACAAAATGTATTAGATTTATTCTTTCAAAGTTGTGTCACCAATCAGGAATCTCTATTGATGAGAAAATCCTACCCCTTGAGGATTCAACAGCATTTCTTGGAATAAGCGTTGACTCCAAGTTGCAATGGGGATTACATGTAGATAAGTTAGCTAAGAAATTGAGCGCTGCCGTCTTTACCATACGCAAAATCAGGCAGCTAACTAACGAGGAAACTGCAAAATTAGTTTATTATGCTTATTTTCACAGCATAATGTCCTATGGTGTCTTACTTTGGGGTTCCGCATCCGGTCTAGACACAATATTTGTATTACAAAAGCAGGCTATACGGGCCGTCTATGGCTTGGGTCCACGTGAGTCGCTACGACATACATTTAAGCAAATAAACGTTTTGACGCTCCCGTCGCTTTACATACTTGAGAACATCATGTATGTACGTAATAATATCCACCTATTTACGAAAAAAACAATCCACATCGCGTCGGGGCCGTGGTGACACTCTGAAGTACCGAGGTTTAAAAAACCAGAAACGTTTCTTGGAAGATGCGTCAACTTTTACAATAAAATAGGTGACATCCACAAACAACTGAGTATAAACAATTTCAAACAATTTGTAAAAGCTACCTTAATGGCAAGGGCCTACTATAATATCCAAGAATACATAGAGGACAAGGATGTTTGGAAATGACTCTTGCTCTGCACTTGCAAGACCCCTGGAAGCTGCTGATTTTATACCCAAATAAGTGTGTATAATTGCATTAAAAATATATACATAACAAAAAGAACAAGACCGCAGAGTTTCTTGCCGGTTCTTCTCTGTGCAGGTCTAGTTTAGTGAAGCGGTGGTAGATTTTTGTTGACGTTCAATAAGAGCTTAAGTTAGGCCTATATTGAATAAATATACTTTGACTTTGACTTTGATATAAACAACTGTAACTCAACGCCAGGCGTCGTCTACTTCCATCACGATAAGGATAACAGAGTACGCGCCGACTTACGAGGGAGTCTATCAGGCGGTCTTCGCAGTTGGCAACGAGGAGGTCACCAAGACCATTATGGAGATTAAGTAAGTGATGGTTTCAGCGATGCGGTGAAAGTTTTTTTTTTATTTTTTTTTATGTGTAAAGTTGCCAAGCGAGCAGGCGGTTCACCTTATGTTAAGTGAATACCGCCGCCCATGGACATCTGCTACACCCGAGGGTTCCAGATGCGTTGACAACCTTTTGAAAATTGGGCTCCGGCCACCTCACTTAGCAGACGAAACGTGAAAGTATTATATACTTCCACTACCGGTCTTTTGTGACGTCATGGTGCTTACCCGGACGAGGCTGCCCATTCGTGCAACAGCCGAGGTTGCTGCGTGGCCCCACAACAAATAGAAAGTAAAAGTGAATTGATTACATCGATTCTATAACGCGAATTTGATAAGTATAATGCAAATCTGAAACTGCATTGATACTGTACGATATATTATTTTTACCCGACTGACAAATGTTTGTCGTATTTAGTTTGGCATGCTCTACGTAGTTGGTTGCAATGCGACTTCACAGTACCTATTACCACGGAAAGTAATGACCATTTTTTGACATAATTACCTATAATTCCAAGTGTTATAACCGTTATCAATTTTAATACGTGTGTAAAATATGCTATGTTTCATAATAATTATTATTATTTTTACTAGGTATGTTTTTTTTATGTTTGCAGTTTAAATGTACACACCTAAGATTTTGGGTCTGTTCAATCCTGAATGGAGTTTGTGCAATTAATGTTTTCCTTCTTATTCAAAAACGGAGTACTGGCACATTGGTGTATTTTTTAGCTATGTTTCTTTTGTTACCCTAAAGGAGTGTAACTTCTTAAGTGCGTGCAGCGGGGGTCGCTGACCATCACCGCACTCTCCCTTTAACTTTAAGTGAGAACAGCATCCGTCCTCTTCTTTCGGACGCCTACGTCCAGCCCAACAACTGCTTCCAGGGACCCATCGGAGAAGACGGAGGAGCAAGTGGCCGGCACCACGTCAGCGGCGGAAACTCACGCAGGGGAAACGACGGCGGCAGCAACTGGTGAGTTCTCGCCAAGAAGTAAAGATATCAAATACAGTTATACCTGGCTAGCTGTTAACCGCGGCTTCGCCCGCGGCCAAGGGGAATTTGAGTTTTTGATTACACCAGAATATATCTTCTATATCTCGCAGATAGCTGAATTTTTTCCAACTTAGTTGACACTTACCATTACGTACATTTTGGACAATTCACACAATATCTTTATTAATTTTGGCCTATGTGTAATTCTGATGTATGAGCTATATTATTGTAAAATTTCATTAATATCTATTCAGTAGTTTTTGCGTGAAACATTAACAAGCATCCATCCATACATAAAAACTTTCGCGTCTATAAAATTAGTAAGGAAGTAAGGATTGATAGGAGGGAAGACACCTTGGTTAAATATTTTCGAACACACTCTTACAGAACGTTACCTAGTCCCAAGCTAAGCGAAGCTTGTAATATAATTATTATATAATTGATATCATACTCAAACATACTTTTCCTTGTAAATAAATATATATTATATATATATATATAAACACTGAAAAAAAACTCTGTTCATCACACAATATTTCTCCAGTAGTAGGGATCGAACTCACCCTCTGGCGCAAGAGGCAGGTCCACAGTCCACTGCCAACTCTAAAGAAATATTTTATACTAGCTGTGCCCTCGACTTCGTCCGCGTGGATTAAAATAAAATAAATTTTTATGATGTATGCACGGTATACATGCGTATGCATTTAGTAAAAAGCGGTTATTTTAATATTACAAACAGACGCTCCAATTTTATTTATCTGTTTACATGCAAAAAATTTTAAAAAAATATGCCAAACAGAAAGAAAGCGTATTTATTATAAAAAAATCAAATACAAATACAACAAAAATAATTAAATTAACAAAAATAATTAATATTTCTTTAAAAATTTTGTGACTGCACAGTCATTAGTGCATACAATTAAGTAAATGATGCATGTGTTTGAAGACTCCTTCTTCTATGTGTAAGAATTAATTTTGCAAACAATTAGATAGTTAAAATGTACAAAACTGGTATATTTCATAACTTAAAATCAGAATGTAGTTAGATGTCTAGTTTTGGGTTTGTGTGCGGTTGTGAGTGTGTATGAAGAGAGTGAGAGTAATGTGAGTGTGTGGTAAAACTTGTAAATATAACAGTCGTAAAAAGATGCTGTCTGTCTGTCTGTAAGTCTGTCTCATGAACCGTGATAGTTAGACAGGTGAAATTTTCACAGATGATGTATTTCTTTTGCCGCTATAACAAAAACCACTAAAAAAAACACTTTTTTATTCCTCTTGCCCACAAGTCAATATAATAGATTAGCTTTTACTGGACTAACGAATTGAAGTCACTGGCTAACGCCGAGCCAGCGGCACTGTATCGCCGAACCACATTCGCAGGGGCGACGGCCGCCGCGACAGCGGGGACAGCTGCCGAGACAGCCACCGCATCGGAACAGGCTGAGGCCGCCTCTGAGCCAACGGCAGGTGTGATCATTTTTACACAACGTTCTCTAGTCCCAAACTAAGCAACGCTAGTACTATGGGCACTGGTTAACTGATAAACGTCCTTAAACATACTTTTCTTTTGTAAATAAATACTTATTATACACTAGCTGACTCGGCAAACGTTGTTTTGCCGTATAAATTATTTCTAGGGAACTTGGAAGTGTTTGACAGGTTACACAGACATAGTTGACAGGTACAGTTTGTATGGAAAAATAAAATAGTTGCTATTTCGATTTTCCATGCAATTTTTCCATAATTTCTCATCGTTTAAACCTTCCCTGGACTACCACAAATATTTCAAAACCAAAATTAGACAAGTCAGTCCAGCCGTTCTCGAGTTTTAGCGAGACTAACGAACAGCAATCCATTTTTATATATAAGAAGATATGTATAAAAACATCTAGACACTGGAAAAACACTATGTTCATCGCACAATATTTTTCCAGTAGTGGGGATCGAACCCACAGCCTCTGGCGCAGGAGGCAGGTATACTACCCCAATACGCCAGTCAGAATTCGCCAAGGCACTGTACCGTAATACATAGAGAAATAGACATTACTATTAGTAGTTCTGTCCGGTCCGATTTGGCTAGTTCGCATTTCATTACAAAAATGTCGTTTTTGTTACATTTCAAAATGTTTTTACTATATCGCAATTTTAGAATAATAGTGACCTATGTCAATTTTGTTTATTTGGGAAACGTAAAATAAAGATTTGTGCCCAACAAACGCGGTAATAGGAGGGGAGTGAAAGAGACCGAAGTATACGTTATGTAGCTTTCTTAAATCGAGCCTTGTTTAAAAGTCGAAAGTTTTACATTATTTCCTGACATAGTCATAATCATGATTTTCTTATTTAGGTCCATTTAATTCTAAAGGTGTGTTAAATACTGTAAGTGTTTCGCTGTCATAATTTTGATCAACCGACAAACTAACACGGTCATAAATTTTGTTTCAGAATCGTGAAATTATTCGAGCGAAAGGAAGAAGAGACTGCAATAAAGTTGTTACTAAGAGACATTCTTTTTACTTATTTATATTATCAGGGCCTAATACTTAAAATGATACGTTTTGACACGTGACGCCTCATAAAATATTCAATTTAAATGGCAACCCTGAAATGAAATAGTAACTTTCACAATTATGGAAGAATTATTAAAATGAATTTATGCAGCTTATTTCAATGAAATCGCGATAATTGGAAGTGAAACAATCTTTTTTGCCTTCCCTTTAATTTCTAATTAGTATCTATACAATGTTACTACGCTTACAAAATCACCGGTCGAAATTGTTTCAATTTCCAAACAGTTACTGCACACATTCACATGTCGAATGGTATGAAAGGGATAGTGTAATAAAAGCAATAAGAAAAAAGAGGACGGCGAGTGTTTATCACTTGTTTTTAAATCTCAAGGTGCATTTGTCTTTCTCGTCTCCGTATTCTTTGTTTTCTAACCTACATAAATAAAAACATTAGGAAAATTAAAAGTTTAAATATCGTAATCGTTTAGTTTGTATAGTTCGTATAGTTTGTTAAATATACGATGATACGCGGGACATTGACATTAATAAACTAAAGTGACATTACGAAATGAAGTACCACATAATATTACGAACATTTTTTGTTTAAACAATACGGAACTTCATATAAGACATCCATATTTGTATGTCAATGTCACACACACGAGTCGTCTACACTGCCCTAGCAGTCGGGCGTCGAGGAATTGAACCCCATAACCGTGTAAATCCAAATTGGCTTAACTTTTAGTAAGATGTATAAAATATATTTAACCAAGAACTGTGGATTTTGTTTAAAAATAAAAATCTATTTATATATATTACTACGTATTATTAATCACTTACCATCAGGTAAGTCTCCTGCTCGTTTGCCCCTTTTCTCCCTAATAAAAAAAACGTAATTGTAAAGCAAAAACTTTTTACTGTGTTTTCACTTGTGTTGCCAAAAGGATGATTACTCTTTGAATTAGTCATTTAGAATTTAGATCAATTCAGAGTTAAACTATCCTTTTGGACGCTAAAATGAAATTTGAAAAGCCAATTAACAGCGATAAAATCCATAATTTATTTTCATTTAATATGATTGTACAATGTCTACAGAGTGAAAAGAAGCATTTTTGTTCGGGGGTTACAGGGGAAGCAATAAAACAGTGGTGGTGTGTCGATACAGTTTATTTTGAAATTATTTATGGTTAAAGCTTGACTTTAGACAGTTACAATATAATTATGTCTACATTCCGTGCTTTAGCCAGATAGTATCAAATCACAATTCCCCCTCCCCCCAAGCCATTACAACCTGTCCCCATACACATATTGCCCACCCCATATTCAAATTTGCCAAAATTCACCAGCATTGCCAAACTCACTTGAAATTGTACGAAGACATTCATTCACCTTCATACCTTTCTTTTTCCAATGCGCTCCTCTATACTCCTGGCTACGGCACTTACTATATCAGCGACACTACTAAAGCAATAAACTACAATCAGTTCAATCTAACTGCACATACATTGTCCTCTAAATAAGTATACATTTATGCAGAAGAATACATTTTCATGAAAAATCAACACTAGAAGCGCATCGATAAATATAATAACTTAAAATAAATAGGAATTAACATCGTCTTAAATTAACGAACCAAATATGACTTTTGTATCGAATATAAAAAAAAATTGTAGGTCGGGAAAAGTTGGCGCGCTTTTTGAAACGTTACACATGTTCAAGGAAAGAAATACTTTTGCTCAAGTTTTTGTCCAAGTTTCCTTCTTTCTTTTTAAATAAATATTGCAATAATAATATACATAGTTTCACTAAGTGTAATCACAATAGATAGTTCTATCGCTAGTGACGTGCGCGAAACGCCTAATACGAAATGTGAAAAGATAAGAGAGCAAGGAACTATTATAATCCGATGGTAAACAGTGGGGTGGATTCTTTTATTTACATTAATTAAAAAACTAATTACTTCAACGCAAGACTGAGCTAAAACAATTTTTCAAATGCATCTGCGATCCTTCTTACTATGCTAGAAAATCGTACTCTAAGATTACAATTTTCACATCAATATAATAATATTAAGAGTACCTGTTTTTTTTTTAATAGACAGATAAGACAACGCAACGAGAGGCTCCCACGTTTCGAGTTTAAAGGGGATAGAAAGAGACTTCTGATGTTTCCGTTTCACCTATCTTATTGATTTGCCAATAGTTAAACAATAGTACGTACATACAATGGGAAGAAATTGAAACGGTGATTGGGTTTTGAACCCACGACCTAAAGATCGTGCACTAGGTGATATCAATAGTGACGTCTATATATATATACATATATATATTCAATAGTGATGTGTATATATATATTCTATTGGTATCTCAAGGCTCGTCCAAGTGTACCAGAACCCCAAGAAATGTTACGTTCGTTTCACTTTTAGGCCAAACAGTTGAGCTTTCTTAGTAATTTTACGTAAAGTCTACCAATTCTTGGTAAGCATTAAAATATACTGCGATATGCAGTGAAACGTCAGTTCCCGTTCGGTTATCAATCAAACCACGCTTTCTGAAATTATCATATCATAGTCTATCTTTGTATAGTTTCGTAATAGCGTTCTAATAAATTCTATTATTATTTATATCATCATAACCGGTGTTAGATATTAATCTAATCTAGTTAGATATTAATCTAACACCGGTTATGATGATATAAATAATAACCATACCAATAACCATACCATGTTGGGGATTACAGGTGAAACGACATTAGACAGTTATTATACTTGACTGATAACTTATTGTAATTTAGTATAAGTTACAATATGGTTCGACCTACAGTAGGATAGGATGGTTACGTGCATTATTTTGTATCTTTTTTTTATTAAAATTTGTAGAAATTTTTAATCAAAAACTGTCCATTGCTTGAGAAATATCTCCCTCGATGGTGTTTAGATCCTGTCTGGAGTGACGCAACTTGTACCACCACTGGATCCATTACTGAAGGAACCATCAGCCAAACCAAGTAGTGTAATTGTTCGAATGAGTCTTCTGAAATAAGACTTAGTTCGAAGTGTCTTTGACGACTACGTGCAGGGCCGGATTTAGAGGTCTGGAGGCGGACAACAAAAGGAGTGGAGGCCCCTTGGCCCCAAATTATTTTCCGAATGATATGAACAATTTTTTTCAGTCGAGTTTTCCAATAAATAATGTATTGTGAAACCAAATATACATTCTTTTATTATTTAACGAACATATAGATATAATCGCGAAAAAAAGAATTATCTAAAATTAAATTTTAGCGTTAGCTAACTTGTTTACCATAAACGTGTCTGAACTTGAATTCGTTTTTCCGAAGTATCTATTGTGGGTGACCTCTTTTGTGGAGGCCCTGGGACTGTAGATCCGGTTGCCCACCCCTAAATCCGCCCTCCTACGTGGCTGATTAAAAAAGCATTTTTGACCTCGACGTGAGGCCTCTCGTGTGCGGTGGGTAACGTAGAACAGGCTAAGTTATAAGTATATACAGCGTGTCGTTACCATCGCGACAATAAATGGACACACGTCTGACGCTACTTGCCAATAATCATAAAAAAACATTAACGTTAAGAAAATCCATAATTAAAAAAAAATATTTTTCAAACAAACTGATTAAGTAAAAAAGAAACAAAACATTCTATACAACTACAAATACAAATGACTGATCAGTCATTCATACATTCAGCCTTTTTTATATGTTGCCACAGCGTCGCATTACAAAGCCTCTCCTACTAACAGTATGTTTTGTCTCTTTTAAATTCATTCAACCCATTCATATGCTTTTTGACCTTTACAAATGAACTTTACGTTACAGTTTTATACGTAAGGGTCTTCTAAAATTCTTTGTTTTGGGAAATTTTATAACTCGGTAAATATTGATGTTTAAAGACTGTAAACGTTTAATACAATTTAAATAAGTTATCCTCTATTTGTGTGTTCATTTATTGTCGCGATTGTATAGACACGCTGTAAATCAGTACATGATTATACATAAATTACTATCGTGTTAAATACGTATCTTATATATTAATGTCGATCGACCTTATATCGGTTCGATCGACGTACATTAGGCATTAAAAAGTCAATTTTTTCACTAACGAAAAACAACACCTACTTTGAAAATCTCGCTCAATATTAACTTTATAATTGATCTTCAGGAGCACCCTAAGTATCTCCGGAGCCCAAGATCCAATACCAATGACATTAATACGGGACCGCATGGGAGGCGTCAGCTTTCACTCGGCCGAAAGGTAACAGACATAAAATACAGTCGAATCGAGAACCTCCTTTTTTGAAGTCGGTCGAGAATAAGGATATATTTTAATAACACAGCAGCGCCCTCCGCTCGACTGAAGATGCATATGATGAAGCGAAGACACGATGGGGATTTATCTGGAACATTCTAGGCCTCAAGTGAGGGCCTGCAGTTGGTTCGCTCGCCTGGGCGTTCAAGAGCAAGACTCCGTTCATTTCGTAGACCTGGTTTATACTTCGGAGTCAGGACAGTCTGTTTGTATTAAAGAGGCGAGCGAAAAAGTATCGAACACCGGAAATGGTGGCGGCCTCTGTGGCGGATGCTGCGGTTCCCACCGCCTTGGCTTCATCCAGCGGAAGGTGAAAGCCCCGAGATGGAGCCGCGTCCGGAGCTCCCACTCTCTCCGAGTGTCTTTGGTTTCCCTCCGAGAATGCACCAGCACAACGCCATTTAGACCCATAAAGTCCACAGCCGAGCCGTGGTCGCGGAAGTTTGCGTCCACGAGTCCCGGCCGATACATATGCGGTAGCGACGGGAGCGTGGGCTTTTCAGTGACTCGTACATACCCGCGCCGCTCCCCCGAGAAAGATCCGGAAAGGATTTTCCCCGCGGGTAGAAAAACCGGTAACAGCCCGGGGGAGGGGGAAAAGAGGTGGGGAAGGAGAGAGGGAGAGGAAGGGGGGAGGGGTATGGCGCGGCGCCTACGCGTCCGCCGGCGGCGCGTCGCCGTGCAGCACCTCGCAGTCGGGCCTGAGCGCCCTGAAGCGCTGCACGCCCGCCTCGCTCACGCCGCTGCCCCTCACGTCGAGCCTGCGCAGCTCGGGCGCGGCGCTCGCCAGGTGCACCAGGCTGCGGTCGGTCACGTGCCGGTAGCCGACCAGCGAGAGCTCGTGCAGCGCCGAGCGCTCGGGCCGCGCGGCCGCCTGGGCGCCCGGCGGCTCGGCGCCGGCCGCCTGAGCGCCGCCCGGCCCCACCACCACGTAGCTCACGCGCTCGCCGTCCGCGCGCCCGAAGCGGCGCACCGACGCGTCCGACACCAGGGCGGCCGGGTCCTGCGGCGGCAGGCCGGCGCCCGCGCGCTCGGCCACGAAGCTCACGTGGCGCGGGGGCCCGTACACCACGTGGCTCGGGTGGCCGAAGTTGAAGTAGAGCGCGCGGTACTGCGGGTCGTTGCACTGCGGCTCCGGCTCGGGCGCCGGCGGCGGGTCGCAGCCGTGCCCCCGGAAGCAGATGAAGCTCACTTGGGCCGCCACCGACGCCTGCAGGACGCCCTCCCGCGGCGCCCCTTCGCCGCCGCCCGCCGCGCCCTCCGCCCCGTCGGCCCCCGCCCCGCGCTCCGCCCCCTGCACCGCCCCCTGCTCCGCCCCCTGCTCCGCCGCCTGCTGCGCTGCCGCACCCTGTTCCTCGGCCCTCTGCGCCGGCGCTCTACGCCCCGCCGCCTGTGGCCTGGACGGACCACGTCTAGCCCTCTGCCTCGCCGGTCCCTGCGCCGCGGCCCTGTGCCTCGACGCCCTCCCCTCCTGCCCCGCCGCCCTTTGCCTCGCCGCCCTCTGCCCCACTGGCCTCTGTCTCCCCTCCGCCGGCTCCATCACTCTTTGCCTCACGATCTCTTGCAAAGCGACCCTGTACCGTGTCCCGTCCGGTCTTATCATCACCGGAACTCCCAGCCCCACCCCCACTCCGTCTCTCATTACCACCGACGCCAGCTGCCGCGGTCTCATCGCTTCATGCATTAGGTCAATGCACTCAGCCGCGACTTGTCTCGCCAATTCCGGCCCCAGCAGCCCTTGTCTTGCCCTTCCGTTCACCGCCGCCCTCTGGCCCGCCGCCGCCTCTCTCGCCGCTTGCGGCTCTACCGCCCCTTGTCTCTCTGCACCCTGCACAGCTGCCCCCTGCCCCGACACCCCCGGCCTCTCCATCTCCACCCTCATGTCTCCTTGTCTCCCCACCTCCAGACTTATCGCCCCTTGACCCCCCACCTCCAGTATTACTGTCCCCCGACTTCCTACCTCCAGCGTCATCGCATCCTGTCTCGCCGCACCCTGCGCCGCTGTTCTCTGACGCCCCTCCTGTTGCGCCACCTCTGGCTGCACCGCCCCTTGTCTCTCCTCCCCCAGCTCCCCCGCTCCTTGTCCCACCGCTTCAGGCTGCGCAACCCCCAACTGCGCCGACTCCGGATCCGCTGCCCCTGGTCTCGGCGACGCTGACCCCCCCGGCTCCTGTCTCTCCCCTGCCGATGCCACCCCCGGTCCCGCCGGCCCCCGCCCGTCCCCTGCCGGCGCCGCCCCCGCTTGCCTCGCCGCCCCCTGCCTCGCCGCCCTCTGCCTGGGCCCCGTGTGAAACACCACCCCCCGCCTGGCCGCCTCCCGCCCCAACAACAGGCCCCCGGGCCCCCCTCACCCGCACGCGGTTGCCACCCTGCACCTGCACTCGCACGTTGCCCCGCCTGTTTATCACGTTGATGCACACCTCCTCCGCACGGAACCGCCGCCTGGGGGCGCCATTGTCGGGCCCGTCCGACCCGCTCCCCCGCCCGTGGCCCGCGCGTCTGTCACGGTCATCCTTCCTCCTCCTCCTCCCAGATCTATCGCCATTATTGCCCCTGCCCTCGGGCCTTTCAACATTATTCCCTCTACCCTCAGGCCTCTCTCCGTTTTCCGCCCTACCCTCAGCAATTTCCCCATTGTCTCCATGCCTCTCGGGATTATTCAATTTCTCCCCCTGATCCTCATCATCATCATCACCCTCCAGGTTCAAGCCACACTCTGCGCACCTCTCAGGCCTCTTGGCATTATCGTCACCTGCCTCAGACCTCCCAGCATATTCCTCTCTCGTTCCGGACCCGCCGCCAATGGCCTCACTCGACTTGGATCCCTCGCCATCGTTACTTGTTCCCTCAAGGTTCCCAGCGTTATCCACCCGTCTAGGTCCCTCGGTGCCATCGCTATTGACCACCGATCCATCATGTTCTATCTCTCCTTCCCTGTTCCCCTCTACGTCTTTCTTCTCATCCGCCCCCTCGGTGGGCTTCTTCCGCTTGGAGCAAGTGGCCTGTTCATCGTCTCCACCAGTCTTCCGCTTCGTGGGGCCCGCGCCATCACTGCCCCTGCCGCTGGTGCCTTCGCCCGTATCTTCAGTTTCCTGACCGTTGTTCAGGTCACCGTTAAGCACTCCCTCCCTGCGAATAAAACTAGTGATATTATGTAGCCTCTTTCATATTTTTTTCATGCACAATATAATGATACCAACTTCCTTCAACTACCATCAAGAAAAGAGCATACTCCTTCCTAGAAGGCCGTCAACGCATTTGTAAGCCCCCGGGTGTTGCAGGTGTCCATGGGCGGCGGTGATCACTTACCATAGGGTGAGCCACCTGCTCGTTTGCCCCTTTTCTCCATAAAAAAAGAAAAAAGAAAAAAAATATTACGTTTACGAAGCACTGCCCGAAAACTAAATATTGCGAATGAAATATATTTTTGCTACCCCAACTCCACTGGCGATATACCCCAATTGTACAACTCGGAGTGAATATGTTTTATTGAGCTAGGGCGCTTACCACCACCGGCTGCAGCGCCACTTACAAAAAATACATATCCAACAGCGGTATACCCCAATGATACGTGGTACTTGACGACGCCTAGCCTACGTGATAGTAAGGAATACTATCCTAGAATACGTGATAGTAAGGAATACTATCCTAGAATACGTGATAGTAAGGAATACTATCCTTGGATAGTATTCCTCACTATCACGTAGTCTAAAATAAGTTCTAGCCTACGAGAGTATCAACAGTATTAATCCCACACATTGGCTTAAGGATGCTATCCTTAAGGATAGTAAGGAAGTAAGGATTTGAATTTGTATATAGATCCTCTGGCGGTATACCCTACCCGTTCTCAGGTTCATTGGCGCATTCTCCGTTCGCGTCGGGCCTCATCGAGCAATCCATCGGCTCCGTGTCGAGCTGGACACGGTTCCTGAAGAACTCCGGCTCCTGGTGGAGGAGATCATTATATTTGTATAGATTCTCGATATTATCGCAAAGAAATATTTTGAATAAGAAAAAATATGTACATAAAGCTCTTAATTATAATAAATAAATATTTTAGGACACGTTTTTACAAATTAAGCAACACTTGTACTATGAATACTAGATAACTGATAAATATACTTTTTTGTTGTAAATAAATACATAGTATTATACATATATAAACACTCAGACATTAGAAAAACACTATATTTTTTCAGTAGTAGGAATCGAACCTACACTTTCTGACGCAGGATTCAGGTACACTACCCACTACGCCATTCGGTTTGTCAATTGACTATGTATTTTGTTTAATGTAATCTTGTTTTTTTCTTTTAATGTTTTTTTTCTTTTAATGTTTTTTTCCTCACAAATAATTGTAAGTTGTTTTGTCATTGAATTTTACGCACTGTGGTTTACACATATAATTAAGATGGCACTCAGCAGGCATCTTACGTTAATTAAAATATTACAGGGACCCATTTGTCTAAAATGGGTGTTCATTTTATTGATATACCATTAAATGAAATAAATAAATGAATTTCATTTATCTCTTTATACGGTTGTTATCTATTTGGCAGGTAGAGATGTTTTCATTCCCTTCCCTATCTCAGTATATTTTAAATGATTGATTTCCTGATTGCCTCTGGTAGAAAAACTCAAACTTGCAACACTATTCAGAGTTGTCGGTTCTTTTCTGTTCAGGTGTACTCTAGTGAACTGGTGGTAGTTTTTTTGCCGCTCAATAAGAGCTCAAGTTAAGCATAGGCTTAACTTGAGCTCTTATTGAGCGGCAAAATACATACAGCGAGCGACAAATTAATATAGATTAAATTAAGATTTCTGTTTCTCCAGTTTCTGAAACACTGATTCATCGTAGATGTGAACTAATCAGTTGCCCAACTTTTCAAAATTTATTCTAGTTGCCAAAATGATGGTTAAACTCTCTGAATTGAATAGAATGACCCGTCTTAATGATCAGAATGATCAATTCAAAGAGTTTAACCGTACTTTTGCCAACTGAAATGACATTTCCGTAACTCAGAGGCACACAATAGTAACTGCACATGTTTCAAAATTATTTTTCTCACACCATTAACATCGCAAGAACAAATTCTAGACAATAGTATAGTCTAATAAATAAAATATACAATCGTATATGATATCATAATCAATGTTGTATTATGGTTTCGACACATTTTTTGCCTCGCCTGTGTTTAGTCACATAATGCTCTGAGGTACGGAAATTAAAAGCCATTTGACAGCTGTTTGGTTGACATATTTTTTTTATGTGAAAAGAAAAGCCAAGCGAGCAGACGGTTCACGTGATGTTAAGTGAACACCGCCGCCCATGGACATCTGCTACACCCGAGGGTTGCAGATGCGTTGACAACCTTTTGCAAATTGGGCTCCGGCCACCTCACTCACCAGACGAAACGCGAAAGTATTGTATTTCCACTTGACGCCGGCCTTCCGTGAGGTCGCGGTACTCACCCGGACGGGCCTGCCCATTCGTGCAACGGCCGCGGCTGCTGCTCGGCCCTACCACCGTAACTATCACACATGTACGGTCATCAGCGATTGAGAGACCGGGCCTCAGCGACGCACCTGCTGCTCCCAGTATTCGAGCAGCGACTCGCTGTGCGTGGCGGCCGCCTCCTCGTGGCGGTGCGTAGCGAGCGGCGCGGGGGGGAGGGGCAGCGCCTGCAGCCGTAGCTCTCGTAGCGAGGGCAGCCAGCCGAGCGCAGACACCTCCGAGTCGCCTACGGGGCAGCCGCGTAGGTCCAGCTCCTGGAAGTTTTCTTTAGTTATTTCTACGACGACCCCGTTAACGACTCCGAGGCGCATTCGCCGAGGTGTCGGCTACGGCGGTGGGTCGTAGGTTCGATCGCCCAAGTATGTTAAATGACACTCTGGTAATGAATTGATCGCTGCGGGCTCTTTCAATCGGAGTTTTTTTTATATTGTATTTAATACTAGCGACCCGCCCCGGCTTAGCACGGGTGCAATGTATTATACATATAAACCTTCCTCTTGAATCACTCGTATCTAGTAAAAAATGCCGCATCAAGATCCGTTGTGTGGTTTTTAAGATCTAAGCATACATAGGGACAGACAGACGGCGGGACGACTTTCTTTTATACTATGTATTTAATATATTCATTCACGTCAAAAAATTTTTAAAAAAAAGTAGCCAGAGTTTCTTTCGCCGCTTCTTCTCAGTACAGTAGCTTCCCTTTCCAAACCGAATAGTATTTTAACTATCAATAATTGACAGTAATGCCTCTACGTTGAATAAAGATATTTGCATTTGAATTTGACGTGTCCTCTTCCTGAACTAGATGTTTGTATCCAAGAAGAAAAAACGTAGCCAGTACCGTTGTTACGATGATTCACGTGTCTTCCTCATCCTTTGTACAAAAAGCGGGAGATAAAGAGAGGAGGGGGGAGAAATAAAGAAAGAGAGAGGAAGAACAGCAATCGGCCGGCGTCCCTCACCACGAGGCTACGGAAACCGTAGCGCGCCGCCAGCGAAGCGTAGGCGACGAACTCGCAGAGGCGCGTAGCGTGGCGCGCCCGTAGGCACAGTAGAGCGCGTAGCTTGCTCAGCGGCAGCAGCGAGGAGGGCTCCAGCCAATCGCACTCGCTCACGTCCACCGTCTGCGGGCATGCTACGGTCAGCGCTACGTGTCTACGCGTTACGGTCGGTGCTACTAGTGTACGGGCTACGGCCTGCGCTACCCGTCTACGTCAACTACGAAACGCTACGTAACGGACGTCTTTTTAATTGAGACAACATAACAGACATAAAATAATATTACTTATAGACATTTGTATAGATATAGATTTTGTTACTAGCGATAGTTATTTGACATTGCCTCCACAATACTAAAGTCAAAATTATATCTCCAGTAGCCAAATCTAAAGAAAGATAGAATATTGAAACCGGCAGTAGACAACGTTAGTTAATTAATTTGTATCGATTTGTATGCAATGTAAACTCCTGAAATTATCGCCCGGTTACTGAAACATTAATCATTCTGATCATTTAGATTTAGAAGATCATTCTGGTCAATTCAGAGAGTTTAACCACCCTTTTGGCAACTAAAATGAAATTTGAAAAGCCATTTGACAGCTGATTAGTTGACATCTACGATGATCAGTGTTTCAGAAACCGGGCGTTGGACTTTAATAAACAAACATTACACATCTCAACAAATTTGTAACGTCTATGAATAAAACATACGAGTAAAAGGTTTGATGACTGTCAGTTTATTGGACATTATTATTATTTAATTAGGTTTTATATTAACAAAGTTGTCATAAAGGACATATTATAATATACACCGCTCAGCTCGAACTCAAATTAAAGTGTAATTATTTTTTTTTAAGTTTTGTAGTGCTACCCACCCTCTGCACATAATTATGATGAAACATTAAAATTTGTAGTGAAATGGACGAAAAGTTTTTCGTTATCGCGGGAATCGAACCCACGTCCGCCGAGACACTTTAACCACTAAGCTAAATTGCCACGCCGACGAAAATCTCAACGTATTTTACCTATTAAAATGTGTAGAAAAAAGTAATATAAGTTCGTCACCGCCGTGGGAATCGAACCCACGTCTTCGGCACTTTAATCCACCGCCGAGCCGCCACCGCAACCTTCAGAGCACGCAGTCAACAGCACAGCCGCACAGCTAAAACCGACCTTATGGCATCGGCGATAAGGCATAAGCAAACACAGTCATATCACTTGACCATCGCACGGCCAAACACCTCATCTCAAGCGATACACAAACAACTTGAGCACCGGGCGAAAATCGACCTTAGACCATAGCCACAAGGTCTACATTCGCCCGTAGCGAAGCGCAGTGCCCGACAAGCATCACTCAATCACCAGGCGAAAATCGACCTTAACCCAACGGCTCAAGGTCTAGATCGGACCGTGGCGAACCGCAGCGCACCGTCGCCACTGCAAAAGCGACCTTGTGCGGTCGCAGCAAGGCGTTGAACGCATCACCTCCAAGTCGGGCAGGTAGTCCTGGATCTTGAAGAGGAACGACTTGTCCAGCGGCTGGTTGAAGCATTTGGTGCCGCGGAGGGAGAGCTCCCTCAGGGTCGGCGGGAACTGGCTGATGGCCGTCTGCAACGAGAGGTTTTGTCATGTTATTTTAAAAAAACGTTGCCCTCGCTTTAGGATAACACTAACATAAATTACACGAGGACAAACACCCAGATGCGAAACGACTATCTGTGGGTCGCACAAATACTTGTCCCGTGTGGGAATCGAACCGACGCCGAAGCCGATGCCTCGGCAACTGCGCCATGGAGTCATCGATGGTAAATACCTTAATTCGACGGTGGTGGCAACAGAGCCGCGATGGCTCAACGTCCGGGCATTCGGCATAATTCTATACAGGGTGATTTTAATATAATAATAATAATCTTTATTTAAATATCAAAGTTTTAGGTTACAAAAATTACAAGCACATTTGTGATAAGTAACATATTGAAATTGAAACAATCTATGATCTGAAAGGTTCTGACCTCCTAAGTAGGTCATTACATGACCTGTGTTTAGGAGACTCAGTTCCATTTCCCCAATTTGGTGAAGTATTAGTACTCATATAAGGCACTGAAGTGAAGCGTGTGCTCATATTGACGCGCGCGCGCGAGTGTGAGTGTGAGTGAGTGTGAGTGTGTGTGTGTGTGCGTGTGCGTGTGTCTGTGTTAACCATCAGATTTATGCCAATTTACCATGTTAATGCATACATTCTTTTTTTTTTATTTAATTGTCGTTAATAATTCTTCGGTGTCATGATATGTTAGGTTTAAAAGAACAGAGCGAGTAACAACTTTGCAGTTATAGTAAGAAAGGTTATGTACCAGGATATTTGCGTTAATTTTATTATATAGGAAATTTACTTTTGGGAGCAAATCTTATCTTTACGACGTTTTGCTGTTTTAATGAAAGAAGTCTTACGATGTTGCAGTAGTATTGTGTCAAGAATGAAGAGTTGCCTGACAGTTAGAACACCACAATCTTTGTATAACTGGACAGATGGATATAAGATTGGTTTGAAGGAGGAAACTTTTAATATAGCTTTTTGAGCAATCTCAAGTGGCCTTAAATTTGACTTAGCTGCTCCACCCCAGCATGAAATACAATAAGAAATAAGAGACTGACATAGCGCATAATATACATTACGAACAATTAAAGGATTTGCAACATGTCGTAGAGTTTTAAATATATATATCATTTTGCGAAGTCTGGATGTAAGAAGATTGATGTGTGTTTTACAGTTAAGATGTCTGTCTATTATTATGCAGAGGTACTAAAAGTTCTCACTGGGAGAAATTTGTGGGCATTGACAAGGACATACTTGGCGAGAACAAGTGTGAACTTTTATAACAATAGGAATTTTGGGTTGCGAGGAAGAACTAATAGAAAATGGTATAAATTTAGTTTTCGAAGTATTAAGGGTAAGAGTATGAGATAAGAGCCAGTTATGCACAGTATTAAAACCGAGTTGCGATTACATCTGAAGGGCTGACCAGGATTCGGCATAGAAAGTAATCGCTGTGTCATCTGCAAAGGTGATTATTTTTGCACTATTGATTTTTAAATTGCATAAGTCATTTATAAATACAAGAAACAAAGTTGGACCGAGAATACTTCCTTGCGGTACACCGTAAGATACTGGAAGCTCATCACCGATGCAGTCACCTAATTTTACCATTTGCTTCCGGTCCGTGAGATAACTTTGGAAGAAATCGTGTTGCAGTCCTCTGACACCCATTTTTTCTAACTTGGATAAAAGTGTGGAGACGGGGATTGTATCAAAGGCTTTCGTAAGATCAAGAAAAATTGTCATGACCTTCATGTGATTGTTAAGGTTATTTACTACAAAGTTTATTAATTCATGGGCTGCGTCAGAAGTTGATTTATTTTTACGAAAGCCGTATTGTTGTGGAGAGATTAAGTTATAATGTTCAAGATACGCAATTTTATAGTCGACGGACATATTAACAGAGCATATGCAGAATTTTACTCCAAAACTGAATCTGGTACGTGCTTGTGACCTAATTTTTTTTCCCAAAGATTATTTTTATTTTTTCAAACATGATGGACACCTTAAGAAATTCATGCCCTACCGTCTCAATACAACAACCCATTCACAAGCACTAAAACTTTTCGCCGAATGCATAATTACTAAACCGCTAATCAATAGGGTGAAACAAACAACGTTTGAATCGATATTTATCTGGTTATTTCTTGTCAAAATAAAATTATTAATATTTTTTTGAATAATGGAGAGCCCAATTAACATTATGTCAAAGTATGTTTTTCGTCTAAAAAAATCACCCTGTATTCTCGAGCAACCAGAGTTCGATCCCCGGTGCCAGCACCGATGAAATTGTTTATTTTATGTGCCGAATTATCAAGTGCTCAGCGGTGAAGGGAAACATCTTGAGGAAACATTAGCATTAGGAAAACCGTCATCTCGCTTGTCACCTTCTTACATTAAAAAAAAGAGATTCGATCCAAATAGTTACGTCTGTTTATGCGGATAAATGAATTGTGTTACATACAGACGCATTGCTCGTTCAAGTTATAATATACATTACTAGCGACTCGCCCCGGCTTCATTCCGTCGTTATACATAATATAAACCTTTCCTCTTGAATCACTCTATCTGGTAAAAAAAAACCGTATCAAGATCCCTTGCGTAGTTTTAAAGATCTAAGCATGCATAGGGACAGACAGACAGCGGGACGACTTTGTTTTATACTATGTGATAAAGTGAGCGCAGACAAAAGTGAAAGTTTAAAATGCGAAACAACCATTATTTCACGAACTGTGAGAGCGCGAGATTGTGTGAGCCAGCGCGAGATTGTGCGAGACCGCGCGAGACTGCGCGAGATTGCGCGAGTTCGCTCACCATCCTGCAGTTGATGTTGCAGTACTCGAGCGCGAGCACCGCCAGCCGGGGGCAGCGGCGCCCCAGCTGCCCGAGCAGCCTGGCGCCCACCGTGAACCTGGGCCCGAGGCAGTCCTGCTCCTCGCCCACCGGGTGCGGGTCCAGCGCCACCACCTCGAACCCGTCGCGCTCGCGCTCCTCGGGCCACGTGGGCGAGTCGGTGCGTCTGTGTGGGTGTTTAGGGGGGGGGGGGGGGGGGGGGGGGGGGGGGGGGGGGTTCAGTTTAGTATTTTTTAATGGGGCTTCCGCTCCACACACTTGGCTTGACACTTGGCTCGGGCTGAAGCGGTGCAGTTGACTTTGACTACGTTCTTCTGACTACTTCTAGGGTGTGTTGGGGGGGAGGATGTTGACTTGTCTACGCTTCTCGTATCGAGCCGTAAGCCGAATCGTAGCCAGCTCGGACTCGCGGTCTACGAGTGTTATCGTTGTACGTGAAACTCGTGAACCGTCACCATTGGCTCGTGGGCGTTTCCTAATCGGCGATCCTACAGTCAATGCGCAAGATAACAAATAAGAAAAGGAGGAGGGATACGTGTTATTTGTAATAGTTGTTAAGTGCACAGTATTAAAGGGGGGTTCTGGCAAATAAACGATTTCTTTTTCTATATTTCTATTAACACTCACTTATTGATTGTCAAAATATTTACTAAGAGATAAAATTTTAAATTTCAACCGTCTCACTATCACGGTTCATGAGATAAAGCCTGGTGACAGACGAACCGACAGACAGCAGAATCTTACTAATAGGGTTCCGTTTTCCCTATGAGTACGGAACCCTCGTGGTCCCTCTTTCCGAGTCTTCCACCTGGACGTAGATTGCCATAGCCAATCTGGAATTCTTTAAATGGACTCCGGACTCATATTGGCTGGAGCAAGGAAAATATACTTCAGGTGGGGACTCTCGGCGGCGGTTATCGCTTAACATCAGGTGAACCGCCAGCCTCGCTTGCCACCAGCTCAACGGTGGCAACGAGTCTGCAACCCTACTGGAGTTGCGAACGTCAATGGGCGGTCTTCATTCATTCATTCATTCATTCATTCATTCATTCACCCATTCATTCATTCAGTCTCCCATTCATTCATTCATTCACCCTTTCATTCATTCATTCAGCCCAGCACTCACCTCGGCAGCTGGTGCGCGCTGATCTGGAACCGGGCCTGCGGACGCCGTCCACGACCTGGGGAACATTTTCCCTTTACAGGAAACATATGGATGACTCGGTGGCACCTATGCCAAGGCCACTGGCTCAGGCGTCGGCGGTCGTGCGTTCGATTCCCGCGCGGGACGAGTCTCTGTGCGAGCGGTTTGTGGGTGTTTGCTTCCAAAATATTTTAGGACACATTTTTACACAGCGCTCTCTAGTCCCAAACTATTCAACGCTTGCACTATGGGTAGTACATAACTGATAATGTACTTGAACATACTTTTCTTTTGTAAATAAATACATGTTATCCATATATAAACACTCAGACAGTAGAAAACCACTATGTTCATCGCACAATATTTTCCCGTTAGTGGGGGTCGAACCCACACCCTTTGGCGCAGGAGGCAGGTACACTACCCACTACGCCATTCGGGTCGTCGAAAAACATAGCCGAAACCGCGTACAACATTATTCACATGTTGTGCCCACCAAGTAAGTAAGTAAGTAAGGTAGATAGGAGCTCGTACAACTCCACAGAGCATACTGGCCCCACTCTGACCAGAACCATTTGTTAATCGAATTAAATATATAGTGCATTGTGCATAGTGCATTTCATCTATCGATAGTCATTTTTTCTAAATCTACCCCACGCTTCGTAATGAGGTTCATACTTTCTTTTTCATCATCATTTTTAGGGTTCCAAAATGTAAAACAATGCGAGTCGCATTAGCGCACAACGGGTTCCGTACGATTACTGTCTATGAAAAGGGCAAAAAAATCATGTCTCACTTAAATATTTTTTTTATTCTGTTCTTTAGGATTTTTCGTTATAGCGGCAACAGAAATACATCATCAGTGTAAATTTCAACTGTCTAACTATCACGGTTCATATGATACGGCCTGGTGACAGACAGACGGACAGTCTTAGTAATAGGGTCCCGTTTTACCCTTTGGGTACGTAACCCTAATCATGACTGTTCTATGAGAGCCCCGCCCAAATATACTTTTTAATATCTGTCGTCATAGCGGCAACGGAAATAACATCATCTGTGAAAATTTCAACTGTCTATAACCGTTCGTGGGATACAGCGACGGCAGAAGAACAGGCGAACAGACGGACAGCGATGTCCTCTCGGTAATTGGGTCCCGTATCACCCTTCGGGTGCGGAACCCCGAGGGGACGCGACAAAGAGAGAGACAGCAAAAGAGTAGAGAGTGACAGACTAACCCATTGGCATCTCTGGCAGGTCGACCAGTCCTATTTCTATCGGCTCCACGCCTATCACCCGGGCTATCTGCTCCTGATGCTCCAGTTCCCGTTGGTCCGGGTGGCGGCCGACGATGTAGCCCAAGCATCTGGGGCGGAAAGAAAGTAATAAAGAAAGAAAGAAAAAAGAAAGAAAGAAAGATACTTTCATTTGTTAGAACATGGTACAATATAGGCCTTAGCAGTTTTATCGTCCCTTATGTTCTACCATTTCTGGTGTACAAATACTACATTTTAAATTAAATACATACAAAGAATACGTACAAAACAAAAGAAAATATAACTTAGGAAAGTGTTCTGAAATCCCCCTCGGAATAGTAGCATTTACTTATCTGAAAGTTAAACAGATTTCGCTTGAACAATTTTAAATTAACGGTTTTTAGTCTATTTGGTAATTATTGTATACTAGCGACCCGCCCCGGCTTCGCGCGGGTGCAATGTATTACATATAAACCTTCCTCTTGAATCACTCTATCTAGTAAAAAAAATGCATCAAGATCCGTTGCGTAGTTTTAAAGATCTAAGCATACACAGGGACAGACAGACAGCGGGACGACTTTGTTTTATACTATGTAGTGATCCCAATGGCCATACAATAACAGTTTCTGCTGAACAATGTGGAGCGAACAAGATTCAGACAGCAGAAGGGAAATGTGAGGTAACGGGTTCTTTTTATAGTGAAAAACAAAACCGAAATCTCGCTGTGTATTAATTTTATAATTGATTTTCGTGAACATTAAAATATGTAGAAAAAATGCTTCAAATGCTAAGAAAACAATATAGAAGAATGCGTTAAGGTTTTCGTCGGTGTGGCCAATCAGCCGTTTAGCTCAGTGGCTAGAGCGTCAGGCCGCGAATGCCGAAGACGTGGGTTCGATTCCCACAGCGGCGACAATCTTTTCGCACTTTTTCTACATATTTTAATGTTCAATCTTAAGTGCAAAGATTAGCACTATAAACAATTTAAATTTCTGATTTTCGTGAGTTATTTAAATATATCCGGAGCCCAAGGTCCAATACCAATGAAATTAATATGGGACCACATTGAAAGCACTAGCATTCAAATGGATTAAAGAATCGTGAAAATGAATCTACCCGGTGGAAAGTCAGGTGGTAAGAAAGTTAACCGTCGTAGGACCACGCAACAGTGTTCACTGTTGCACGAATGGGCAGGTCCGTCCGAGTAAGTACCACGACCTCACAGAAGACCGGCGTAAAGTAAGAAGTGTTACACTTCTGCGTTTCGTCTGGTGAGCGAGGTAGCCGGGGCCAACTTTATTTAAAGGTGGCATCGAATTTGCAGCCCTAAAGGTGGTGCAAATGTCCATTGGCGGCGGTTATCACTTAACATCGGGTGAACCGCCAGCTCGTATGCCACTTTCTCACATTAAAAAAAAAGTTATGAGGTAACAAACATAAAAATAAATACAGTCAGTTTCAATCATCGCGTGCGGAACCCTAAGGGAAAACACTCACCCGACCGCGTCCCTCGCGCCGGCGACAGACGGACAGACCGACAGAGGAGTCTCGGCAATAGGGATCCCGTTTCAACTTTCGCGTGCGTACAGACGGCGGAGTCTCAGCAACGGGGGTCCCCTGGCTCCGCCCTACGGGTGCGGAACCCCAAGTAGAGAAGCACTCACCCCACCGCGTCCCTCGCGTGGCCGGCCACCATCAGCCGCGTGGTGTCCCCGTGGAGCGCGCCCACTATCCAGCCGAAGCGCGCCCTGCCGCACGGGTGGTCGCGCGCGTCCACGTCGCGCCACAGCGAGCGCTCCAGCACGAGGCGGGCGAGGCGGGTGCAGCAGCTGTCGCGAGTTAGGTTAGGTTAGGTAAGGTTAGGTTAGGTTAGATTCTCTACCGGACGATATCCGGTGAGGCGGCGTGCGTGCTGGCAGGTTCCCTTCCCTGGGATCTAGAAGCGAGTATCCTCGCGTCGCTGCACTTCTGGCGCGAGGAGGCGATAGCCCGGGGCCACCTGCCGGCCTTAGAGGAGTTGAAGGGGTGTAGACTAACGTTGCGCTCACTCGCTATTGCTGAGTGGGAGCAGAGGCTGGAGCACCCCAGTGCCGGCCTAAGAACCATAGAAGCCATACGTCCGGTACTCAGTCGGTGGCTGGACAGGCGTCACGGCACCCTTACCTACCGGGCGACGCAGGCTCTCTCGGGACATGGCTGTTTCGGGAGGTACCTGTGCCGCTTGGCGGGGAGGGAGCCAACAGCGATTTGCCACCACTGCGACGTATGTGCCGAGGAGACGGCCCAACACGCACTGGAGGAGTGCTCAGCCTGGCGGGAGCAGCGCCGAGAGTTGACAGCTATCGTGGGGCACGATCTCTCGTTGCCTGTCGTGGTCCGCGCTATGATGGACAGCGAGAGGTCGTGGGGTGCCGTCCTTGCATTCTGCGAGGACATAATCACCCGGAAGGAGACCGCGGAGAGAGAAAGAGAGGCAACTGCCACCATGGAAATCCGCCGCCGGAGACCAGGGCGCAGGAGGTTGGCGTACGCGCGCAACCTTCCCCCCTGATAGCAAGCCCCGGGGCGGCAGATGTGGGACTAACTGCTGCCCCGCGGAGGGCTTGAGAGGGGTGCCGTGTTCATTGCACCGACACGGCACCATTTGGCTGGACCGGGTGTCCCTAACACCCGGGGAGGCCTGAGAAGGCCACAGTCGCGCCGGGGTTCGCGGAAGATTGCGTTCTCGTGTTCCCGTGTCCCCGGCAAAGCGATAGCGCAGGTGCAACGTGGGTTTTTTAGTGGGTACGTGTAACTCCCACATACCCCTGCTGCCTACCCACAAGGCAGCGGGGGATCCATAAAGAATTTTTCCCACGTAAAAAAAAAAAAGTTTAGGTTAGATTCAAGCCCCCTCCGACCGGGTTCCCGCCTTGACGTGGCGGAGGGGCTTAGTAGCCGTGGCTTGGTCCCCCACGGCGAAGCTAAGAGGAACCCACACTGGGCCGGCCCGAGAGGGCCGCTCCGAGGGGATCATGAGCCCACTCTGGATGCGTGCTGGAGGGTGCAGGGGACAGGTCCAGGGTGGTAGAGGTGGAGCCACTCTCCCTGTCTTCTGCTACCGAGGAGGAGTCGCGGTATTACGAGTCCCTATCCTCCGCGACTCGGCGGGGCTGCCACGCTGATGCAGTGGGGGGGGGGGGGGGGGGGGGGGGGGGAGTGTCGGTATTGCGGTGCGCCGTTCTCCTTATCGACCGCGGCGAGCGGCGGAGGCACAGACCAGGTCCGCCGCTGGGGGCCGATATTTACGTTTGTAAGACGTCCTATCGACACGGGATAATGTTATGCTAAAGTGAGGGCAATGTTTCAAAAAAAAAAAAAAACGAGGAATTGTACGCACAAGCCGAGCGCCTTGAGGTCTCTGGGCACACAGTGCCTCAAGATGTAGAGGAGCACGTCATCCGAGAGGTCGAGGAGTTGGACGCCGGTGGTGGGCGCGTCCACGCCACCGCTCTTCGTCGGCGAAGGTTCTGGAATACGAACGACATTGGTACATCTGCAAATTTATTCTGTGTGCCAAAATGTATATACAACGAGGCGCTTCTACCGCGACTTTTTAAAATTGCATTTAACATTTACTTTCATTAAACATTAAATATTGATTTGGCCAGTTATTTAATTTTCCAAAACAAATAATATTAGATAGAGCCGTGATAGCTCAGTGTCCGGCCGCTCGCCTTCAATTACATTTACTCGAGCAACCCGAGTTCGATCCCCGGTGCCAACACCAATGAAATTGTTAATTTTATGTTCTTTTGCGCAAGAATTCTGGATTATTAATACACATTTCCAATTGGAAATATCACTATCACTACTTTACCAATAACATATAGCTTTGTTGATTTTAGCATGCAGAGGACATTGAAACCAATAAGTTACGGAACAGAATAGCCGTACTTGAAAATATGCGGCAAAGTTAAAAGAAAAAAAAACCGGTAAGTGCGAGTCGAACTCGCGCACGAAGGTTTCCGGTTTAGAAATACATCATCTGTGAAAATTTCAACGGACAGACAGACAGAACGAAAGACACAAACAAACAGCGGAGTCTCAGTAAGTGTACCGTTTTATCCTTTGGGTACGGAGGCCTAAAATAGCCAATGCAAAAACAACCACGCCATAATGTAATTTTAATGCCAACATTACAATAACATTTACATAGGATCTTTGTATTCATTAGAGAGTATATCCAAGGGCAGTCTGTCCTTTGCCCGATGTGGAGTGATGTTTACATTTCAATTTCACTGCATAGTATAATATAAAACAAAGTCGTCCCGCTGTCTGTCTGTCCCTATGTATGCTTAGATCTTTAAAACTACGCAACGGACCTTGATGCGGTTTTTTTACTAGATAGAGTGATTCAAGAGGAAGGTTTATATCACTACATAGTATAAAACAAAGTCGTACCGCTGTCTGTCTGTCCCTATGTATGCTTAGATCTTTAAAACTACGCAACGGATCTTGATGAGGTTTTTTTTACTAGATACGAGTGATTCAAGAGGAAGTTATATCCTTACTAATATTATAAATGCGAAAGTTTGTATGTATGGATGGATGTTTGTTACTCTTTCACGCAAATACTGCTGAATGGATTTTAATGAAAACTTTACAATAATATAGCTTATACATCAGAATAACACATAGGCTATATTTATGTATATACATATTTTTATGTACCTATCTATCTTTCTGTCTGAATGTTACGCCTTCAGCCTGTTCTGCGCAGACGTAGTCGTTGGGTAGTAGCTAATGTATTATACATTGCACCCGTTGCAACAAAATAATGTTTCTAAGCTATGGGTTGTCTTTCAATCCAAATTGAGTATTAAAAAAAAAAACATTGAACTTTCATTAAAAAAAAAAAACGACTTCAAACAGGAAACTAATAAAAATATTGTCAACACCTATGACATTTGAGGATTGCCCTCGATTTCTCTGGGATGCCATCATCAGATCCGGATTTCCTTATCATGGTACCACCCTAGGGATATCTCCTTTCCAACAAAAAAATAATCATCAAAATCGGTTCATTAATGACAAAGTTATCCGCGAACACACATAAAATATATATATATATATATATATATATATATATATATATATATATATAATATATATATATATATATATATATACGGTCGAATTGAGTAACCTTCTTTTTTGAAGTCGTAAAAAATTGATATTTTCAACTGATTATAAAGAATTTAAAATTTTTAGAATTTGAAAAAAAAAAACCTTGACTCCAAACTGTGGTAGTGGCACGCAACAGCCCGGGTAATTACCACGACCTCACAGAAGACCAGCGTAAAGCATAATTGTTATACATCTCCGTTTCGTCTGGCGAGTGAGGTAGCCAGGGCCCACATTATTAAGAGGTGGCAACGCATCTGCAATCCTACGGGTGTTGCAAATGTCCATGGGCGGCGGTTACCACTTAACATCAGGTGAACGGCCAGCTTGTTTGCCACCTTGTCACATAAAAAAAACGCTCCATCTATATGTAGTATGCATCTCCATCTGTATTAATTTACTGTATTGAACAAAATATTAATTTATGAAATTATTCAAGAACGAAGTGAAATTACGAAATAATCAAGACTTCACCGTTCGCGTAACATCACACTTTTCGTAACGCTCGTCGCGTATTCACCACAGTCGTTACGCCCCAAGAAATCTAACTTCAATCATCATCATCATTTCAGCCTGTTCGAGTCCACTGCTGAACATAGACCTCCCCCACAGACTGCCACGAAGTACGATCCTGAGCCACCTGCATCCATCGACTTCCCGCACATTTGCACAGGTCGTCACTCCATCTAGTGGGTGGTCGTCCTACACCGCGATGGCCAATACGACGCTGCCACTCGAGAACCTTTCTACCCCAACGGTTATCGGTTCTACGAGCTATTTGGCCGACCCATAAAGCTGGCTCCACAATATAGAAGATAAAATCCTTACTCCTTACTAATATTACAAAGACGAAAGTTTTGTATGTGTGGATGTTTGTTACTCTTTCACGCAAATACTGCTGAATGGATTTTAATGAAACTTCACAATAATATAGCTTATACATCAGAATAAGACATAAGCTATAATTTATATACATATTTTTATGTATATCTGTCTTTCTGTCTGAATGTTACGCCTTCAGCCTATTCTATAGCAGACGTACTCGCGGGCAGCAGCTAGTAATAATATATGACAAAGAGTGGTGTGGTTGTTAACAGTCAGTTAAGAGCAAGCCATTAAAGCTTAGTTGAGCTTTTGTGATAGCTAGAAAGCCTCCCTTTGGGTAAGACCGCGCATGCGTGCGTCTACTTTGTGACCGTGGTGGACCCGATGTCCTTTGACTGTATTTAACCTTTAATACGGCTGTACCTTGCGTGGGTTCTCCACAAAACGAGGTTGGTGTGTGCTGTTACTATATGTATGATGTATATCCGTTAAATATGTTTATGATAACACTAGATTTTCGCCCGCGGCTTCGCTCGCGTTGAAGACCTTAAATAAATATTAAGAGTTATCACCCAATTTATTTATCATTTTCCAATTTAAAAATAGTCTTTGTCCTTTCTCAGGCCCAATTTTCAAAAGGTTGTCAACGCATCCGTAACCCTCGGGTGTGGCAGATGTCCATGGGCGGCGGTATGCACTTAACATCAGGTGAACCGTGTGCTAGTTTGACAACTTTTCGCATAAAATAAAAATACAATATCAGTGTACCAAATTTCATTTAAATCGATTCAGTAATTTTGGCGTGAAAGCGAGACAGACAGACAGAATTTCGTGTTTAGAATCTCACCTGTTTAGGACCTCACTGTTGCACGAATGAGCTGGCACCGGTGTGAAGTGGGAAAGCAATACTTCTGCGTTTCGCCAATATCTCCAATTACAGCTAAGAAAAAAAAAACGGCCAAGCGCGAGTCGGACTCGCGCACGAACGATACCAAACCATTACGTAAAAACGGCAAAAAAGCATGTCTGTTGCATGGGTGGCCCACTTAAATATTTTTTTTTATTTTCATTTTTACTACTTGATACAACGGCAACAGAAACACATCATCTGTGAAAGTTTAAACTGTCTTACTATCACGGTTCATGAGATACAGCCTGGTGACAGAGGGACAGACAGACAGAAAGCGGAGTCTTAGTAATATGGACCCATTTACCCTTTGGGTACAAAACTTGTATGCAAGAACTTTCGATTTACATCAAAAACAAAATTTTGTTGAAATCTCAATTTCTCTATCCGCAGGAGTCATTTTCCCAAAAGTGACACAAATTAAACTGTTCACACAAGTCATTTTCCCAAAAGTTATTATTATTACAAATTAAACAAAGCTGATTAATTTCATGCAACAAATACACAGTTAAACGTAGATAAGTGAGAGTTCGTGGGACCGCAATCACTTTTCCACTTAATGAGTTCCTCACTATCGCGAATTTCTTACTTGTAAAGGTACAGAAATAACTGTTATCACTCATAGTGGTTCAATAAATGGTACAGCATATATGCAGTGGAGTGGCATGTATGTATTAGGTAAATGATAGATAGTAAACAATAAATTCTACACATCTATTTTATAAATCCATGGCTTTTTTATAATTTTAGTCAAGGGTATGTTTGATACATTCTAAAAGGCAGTTTTCAAAACTTTGAAATGCGAAATTTCAACTCCTCTTAATATGTATTTCCTTGTCCCTCAGAGCTCTGATACAATACAGTTTTGAGTAAATAATTTTGTTATAGGTGGGTTTGGGTGGACTAACTCGAACTATATTTCATAATACGATATTCAGTCTTAAACGCATTCGTGGTTTTAAGTGTTCAGTTATGAGATAAAAATTTGGATTTTTCAAGTTGTTCGCATCTGGGTGTTTGTCCAAGTGAAATTTATGTATACAGCGTGTCGTTACCATCGCGATAATAAATGAACACACGTCTAACGCTACTTGCCAATAATCATAAAAAAATATTAACATTAAACAAACTCCATAAATAAAAAAAAATATTTTTCAAACAAAGTAATTAAGTAAAAAAGAAACAAAATTTGCAACATCCTATACAACTCGCGTCACAGCGTCGTATTACAAGCCTCTAACAGTATGTTTTGTCTCTTTTAAATTCATTCAACCCATTCATATGCTTTGTGACCTTTACAAATGAACTTTACGTTACGCTTTTATAGATAAGGGCGGTTCTAAAATTCTTTGTTTTGGAAAATTTAATAACTCTGTAAATTTTGATGTTTAAAGAATTTAAATGTTTAATACAACTTTTAAAAGTTAGCCATGTTCATTTTCATTTCATGTTCATTTATTGTCACAATGGTAACGACATGCTGTATATTGTAAAACATCCTTAGAACACGGGATGATGCTATCCTAAAGGGCAGTATTTAAAAAGACATTGTATATAGGAACCGGGCATTAGTTTTCTTGTTTACCCAGTTCTCACTTACTCAGATTTGACTGCATTATACAGATTATAATTAATTATATGGTGAACACCTAAGTAAATTAAGACTTATTTAAGAAGCCTAGCCCATATACTTAACTATTGACATAGAAAATAATGTATTATCTTTGTTATCAGCCATATTAATCTTTAAAAAAATTTATATGCAAGTACCTCAATGACCTTCAGCAAATTGCATGGATAAAGGCAAATGTAGCAAATTCCGGAGTTGATATCGCAATTAAAAAAAATATTGATAGAGAAAAATAACACAAATGAATTAATCATCAAGCAAATTATATAATGAAGTAATAAAGTGTATAATAAGACATTTTGTAAACAACAAAATGGCGGAATTCTTCAGTGAAAATAAAAGATTTCATTATTTTTTTTCAAAAACTCAGCCAAATTCTGTAACAAATAGTGGACTTAATGCCCAAAGCCATTCTCTACCAGTCAACTCAGAATAGGTATTAATTATATATGAATAGGTATACAATATTCTTATTTAATCCTCGGAACACAAAGAAGAAAGAAACGAAACTCCTTTGTGTTGAAAATATATTTAATATTATATAGCTGCATAGTTTCAACAATTAACTGTCTTATACTGGTTTATATTAAAGACTAGCATCAAGCATTTAGTAATTCTTACATGTAGAAAATCAGTGCTTCGTAATTAGTTCTCTGGTGTATCTATATCTAGGTATACTAGAGATACCTTCAATTCAATTCAAATTCTAGTATAATAGCTCCATCAGGGAATAACTTGATGATTCTTAGATATACCTTCTTTTCTTTGTCTCAAATCAAATAGGATTAAAAATCTTAACTACCTCTTTTGATGAATCGACTAGTATGTATTTGTTGAAGCTACCTTCACTTGGAATTGTGATATTAAATAATAAATGCCTGTTGCATGGCTGTGCGTCGCATCTGGATGCGATGATTTCGCCAAAATTGAACAAATCTTTTACGCGGGAATGAGTAAATATCGCAAACTTACCATCTTGAACGCATCCGCTGTCGTCCATATCGAGTTTCAAGTCTTCGTCCAGCTGCATCGTGCCCATTGTGGGCTTTTTGTTACTTCTAACTTTCAGTTATTTCCGACGCCACCGAATCGAGATGTAAAGATGAGAATAACACACGAACAAAGAGTGGCCGTCGAGCGACAACCGACGACTCTACTTATACCCCAAAGTCCCTTTGACCAATTCACATTCACTGATACGATTCAACGTTGTATAAAACTTGGTAAAACGACTGCAGCCCCGGGAGCAAGTATACCGCGCCGACGGCAACCATGACACCTGCGTATTGCCGGAGACCGCGCAAGCCAGTTTCGATCCGCCGTATACGTCAACGCGTCGACGCTCCGGCAATGATTGATTGCTTGAACGCGAACGGAGTTTGCGCTGCTATCCCGGGTTAAGGGGAGACAGGCGGCGCTGAATACCTGGACGGGACGCGCTATTAATACAAGATTTTTCAAGATTCACATCTCGCTCACTGCAATCTGTCACAACTCGGAATTTTGCAAACGTCAGAATTACAATAAAAACAAGCGTCTGTTCGATCGGTTAATAAACAAAATAACGTTAATGACATTGTTTGTTATAAGACACACAGGTACACATTAATTACTATAAAATTTTATTACTATACGTAAATGAAAAGCTTATAGTAATTTAAAAAATAAAACGATAAATAAAATGAAAATTAATTGAAATTAAATTAAAATTTAAAACTAAGAATTTAGTGTGAGTGAGCTTTAATTTGTTTGATTCCTCAAGTAGATTTAAGAAATTTAAATGGCAACGAGTGTTAAGGACAAAAAATGTGGTATATAACAAATTAATTCCTTAAGAAAACTGAATTGACATAAATTATATTAAAATAAATAACACATAACATTTTGAAAACGTTTGGTTCATGGCTGTATAGCTAAGATCCCAATGTCTAATTGTCTACTAATTGCAAAAAAAAATCTCTCTTTTTGACGTACATCACGAAAACAAGCATTGCTAAAAAATAATAACAATTCCAAATGGCGAAATCAATTCGTAGCAAGTGGAAACGAAAATGCAGAGCTATCAAACGGGAGCGTTACGCTGTCAAAGAGTTAGCCAGATTAAAGAAGATGCTTGGTGTTAAAGATGAAGACAAACAGCCCGATGAGGTTATGGACTCGGAGCAGGTAATATTCTTGGACGCTGGACAGATTGGAAAAAAGAACAAGAAGAAGGAAAAGCCAGCGCCCGAAGCGGACGAGGACGTTGAAATGAGCTCGGATGAAGAGAATGTGGAAGTGGCTGGCGATGGTGGGGAAAAGCGAATCTACAGCACGAAAACCTTGAAAGACCAGAATGGCCAGTACCCAGTGTGGTTGCACAAGCGAAAGATCGCGAAAATGAACAAAGTAGGCAAGAAGAACATGAAAAAACGCTCGAAGAAACGGAGGAGATAGTCGTAAGCTTGTTTTCGATTAAAATAGTGTTAAAAATCGCATCTTTTATTTCGTCGATCACGATTATAGGCGTTTAAATTTATACCAAATTATGTTACTGTAGTGGGCCACGCAACAGTTTTCGCTGTTGCACGAATGGGCAGGTCAGAGAAGACTGGTGTGAAGTAGAATTGTTACAATTCTGCATTTCGTCTGGTGAGTGAGGTAGCCGGGGTCCACTTTATTGAAAGGTGACAATGCATATCCAACCCTATGGACGTTGCAAATGTCCATGGGCGGCAGTTATCACTTAACATCAAGTGTACCGCCAGCTCGTTTGCAACTTTAACATAAAAAAAATTGAATGTTCACATTCTAAAAGGCTATGTAGCATTAATGTGCCAGATGTCACTTGTTGGTGCAAATCCACTCATCGCTGGAACTACTCTTACTTATTAGCCACTCTTTCTTATTTAGCAAAGGTTGATATCTACATTTATATAAAAATTAATGGCTGTGTGTAGTCTTGCTAAGAATCGAGAATGGCTGGACAGATTTGGCTAATTTTGATTTTGAAATATTTGTGGCAGTCCAGGGAAGGTAAAACAATGAGAAATTGTAGAAAAATTGCTTGGAAAATTGAAATAGCAACAATTTTATTTTCCCATACAAACTGTACCTGTAAACTGCATCTGTGTAACCTGTCAAACATTTTATGTGTGCATTCTGAAAATCCTTTTTCTATGTGTTTAGATTCATAAATTCCCTAGAAATAATTTATATGGCAAAACAATGTTTGCCGGGCCAGCTATTTTTAAATATATATCTTATAACACCAACAGCTTAAATATATTTCAGACTCAATATCATACCTAATGAAGAACAAAAAAAACCTGAAGGCTTAGTTGATATTATTGTATATTTATGGACTTTACTGATTTTTAACCGACTTTAAAAAGAAAGAGGTTCTATATAGCCTCGTTCAAGCAAAAATATTCTATGTTGAGGCCAATGAAAGTAATTTGTCATACTAATGCACTTTTGCTAGTAATAAGGAGCATTGTCATATGATTTTAAACTATGTATGCATTATGTTTATGCTGTTTGCTTTGTAATCCTTAGATTCTGAAAATTTTTGCCATTATATTGGTGGGCAAAATATACGTATAAATGATAGATGATTTATCAAGGGATGATGAAGACCATAAAGACTTACACTTAAGATAGTTTTGGATCACCTATTAAATGTGCAGGTGTCTATACCGAGCCTGCACACATCCATGGAGAGTTGGCAAAACCTTCAACGCTGGCTCTTTCCTGCCACTATGTTGTCAAATATTTATTAATCTAAAACAGATTCAGATTAAAATGCAATTTATTTTTTATATAAAAGTACAATAAATTTGCTCAAATTTCATATACACAAGAATTAACAGCCTATATATTATGTCCACAGCTGGGCAAAGGCCTTCTCTGTACAAAGGGTACAAGGCATGGCAGGATTTAGGGGAGGGCAACAGAGACTACAGCTCTGGGCCTCCACAAAAGAGGGGCCCTCAACAATAGAGACTTCGGAAAAAAAATCAAATTCAGCCTAGTAAACAACTTTTCCTTTCATATTTATACTTCACTCCTTTGTTGCCCCGAGGCCTCCAGACCTCTAAATCTGGCCCCGGTATTAGGCCATAGTCAACCATGCGGATTGGTGGACTTAACATATCCAGCTTGTAGACCCACTACGGGTCTCTATGCCACCTGGATTGAAGAGCGCCTAATTGATATTGGCTTCGGTGTCGTTTTAATGCTGCAGTAATGCTGCGGCTGCAGTAAAGATTCAAAAGCAACATCGAAAAAAATGTATCGATTTTTATCGTGTCAACACTTAAATAATATCAATAATTATCGAGTGAAAAATATCGATATATCGTCAGTCTTCGCATGATTATTCATAAATATTTTCAAGCCATTCAAAATTCGAAAAAAAGAAGAGTCATGAAGAAAATAGTTGATTTGTTAAAAAAAAATCCTATTGTTAATTGTCAGTTAACTTTAGGGTCATGGATTTTTGGAACGAAGTTCCTTATCGCACGGTACGGATTTGGGCTAGGTGAAAAAAGAGAAAAAAAAATTAAATTTTAAGAATGTTCCGTCACGACCCTCTAAGGTAGACGGTATTTAGCGCATATGCTATTGGCGATGCGCCGCCTTTATTGGTTCAAATGTGCGCTTATTGGTTTAACGCAGCCAATAAGTTCGAATCGGCTGCGCAGGTCTAGTTTGTAAATGAAAATAAAATAGTAAAAATAAAATTATCTTTTAAGAAACCAATTAATTGACATATTTACTAAAATGTGGTGTCGTGGGACACCAGGTAGGAACGAAGTTCCTTCGGCTAATGTAGAATCGACACAAATTGCAAAAAAAATCGTGCTCAATTTTATGTAGGTTTTCTTGATTTTTCTCTTAAATTTTGCTGATTACTTTTTATTTAAGTACAAGAAAGTATTTAGGAAATTCAGTATTTTAGGGAATAATAAATTACTTAAAATAAAAAAACATCGTAATTCAAATTATCAACTAAAATAACAAAATTATACACTACTCGCTTGTGTATGCGACTGTCGCGCCTGCGCACGTCTCATTTAACGGTTTTATTCCACGCACTTTTTTCCACGGATTTTTTCTTACGGTTTTACTATCACATTTTTTTCAGTTCGGTCGCGCAGCAAAATCCCTATCCCCTCCAAGCCTGCCGTAAGGAACTTCGTTCCAAAAAGAAAACATACACAAAACTAAATACTAGATACGAAATAAACTTCGTGTCGACAGAGTGGTCCACGACACTGACGCGTTTCTTTTCATAAAAAAGTAAAGTAACAGCCTTTACATCTCCCACTGCTGGGAAAAGGCTTCCGCCGTAAAGAGGGTATCCCGTATCAGGGCATAGTCCGCCACGCGGCCCCAATGCGGTTAGGTGGACTTCACATATTTTCGAAATACTTTTTTTGTTATCATTTCCAAAACATGCAGCCGTCTTACTCCCCAAATTCGATTTGAACTTGTTTTTGATTTCGATTCGAACTCGATCTGAAAAGCTTACTCCCGAACCGAATCGAAACTAAACAAAATCGTGCGTTATCAAATCCGTTAACTGTATCCGGCCTATTACGTCACAGAAAAATGTTCCATGTTTACGGTTATAACATCTTTTTTTTAGATAAAATGTTAATTGCTTAATTTTTTCCGAAAAATTATTCGATTCGGTACGAACTGTCATGAATCAAACGAGTTAAACTTGATTGATTGACTCGAATTTGTCGGGAGTAGGCCTGCAGGTTTCCTGACGTTTTTCTTCACCGCTGAGCACGTGATAAATCAGCATTTGAAATTAATAATTTCATTAGTGCCGGCACCGGAAATCGAACTCAGGTTGCTCGAGTATATTGAATTAAAGGCGAGCCCGGACACTGCGCTATCACTGGTCTTTATAAATTAAATTAATTTACTGTATATTTCAACAAGTGAAGTTAGTCCGCGCTTCTTTCTATTTCGTTAATAACTTTAACTATAGATTGTAATGTTTTACTGTCAAATTCGGTTTACCACCAAAGTGTATATTTTGTAGATTTTTTTAATGTGCCGTTTCTCTCTGTGCCGGGAGAGATTAATATGCTCACTGCCTTGCAAGCTGTTTCTAAGATTCCCTCTCCGGTTAGAAATCGAAAATCCTGGTGATTTTAGCCAGCTTAATGGGACAAACTTATTAAAATATTGTATACAAATTCAATATTAATTTATGTCGTTTTGAAGTGGTTGAAAATAGTGTTCAAAGATTCAAACCTAAAGGTGAAGCCAATGAAAGCGTATTAAAACAATTGAGAGGCACTGTCTAAGTTTGTTAAACCAAATGTGAAGAAATTCAATAAGCAATAAAAAAAAATATGGCCACATAAAATAAAATACGATCGCGCGAAGTTTGATACAAATGGTGAATAAAATTTATTTTGGGGTTTATCAAATACAACTGTGCTCCGTAAAATGTAGTAACTAAATTCGGAAATGACTTATTTGCTATTATGTTTCTCATGTAAGTTAAAAGATAATATTTTTATCGTTCATTTGATTAGCAGGGGATAATGTAACTAATTAATACATGAAACCCCAAATGAACGTTAGGTAATATTCAAGAATTAGCATACGTAAGCAAAAATAAATTATTTACGTCTTGTTCACTCCGACCACTAAGCAACTGAAAGTCGAAAGATAACAACAATAATTGCAATTAAAATCCATCTATAATCACAATATTATGTCAATCTGGTTTCATTATGTTTTATAGTTATTATCTGTGGTTGTTGAGAACTGTTTTCGCGAAAAAACGCCAATAAAGAAGATATTTGCAATTGTTTTTATCCATTGTCAGCAAAGTTAAGAAAATATAATCTCCTTCCAATTAATTTGAAGATTTTTTTTTTTTCGTAATTCTTGAACGTTTCCCAAGCGGTGATGTAGACGTAGGTGATAGTACCTGGTACCAATGATGGTGACTTCTGATAAGAACTTGCATTATTCTGAGAGTAAAAAGCATAAATTAACTTGTAATATTAGCATAAGTTATTACATGAAACATTGAACCCATTTGCTGTGAAATACCCTACGTCTTTGCCGTTGCACGAATGGCCAGGTCCGTCCGGGGAAGTAGCACGACCTCACCTGGAAATGTAATATGATGATGTGCTATATTCCGCGTGAGTGAGGTAACCAGAACCCACTTTACTAAAAGGTAGCAACGCATCTGCAATCCTACTGGTGTTTCAAATATCCATGGGCGGCAGATATCACTTAAGGTAAATCGCGAGCTCGCCTACGACCTTCTAACATAATAAAAAACCCCAACTGCTTTAAAAATGAGATAATATACCATCTGTAATTCCCCCTAATGAGACGAACCTCATGACATCTCATATGTTGAAATCTTCAAGAATCTTCTGAAAGATTCAAAAATGATTTATATAGCCTCAAAAAACATTATTTTCCTTCAGCAGTCGGGTTTGCCTAACTGATATGCAATTGATGTATGGATGTGGTGTGACAAGGGTGTATAAATCTCGTCGAAAATGGGAATCCGTAACGCCTACCTACCCCGATCACAGACGTCAATGTACATGCTGTTACGGCAACACTGAACGCCACACCCCAAGAAAGATGAGGGCGCCAGGGGGCACCCAATTCCTGCCTCATTATGATAAATAACATTAAAAATTAGTAATCAATTAAACCATATACCAGCGGCCTGTATTTTATTACGTCTACTACTTTACACATGTGATGGTCACATTTTAGGTACACTGAGTGCGTACTTCACACTTCGGACTCTCGCGTCACCGCTGCATATTGAACCCAACCAGTCCATTGAAGACTTCATCGACAAACTGCTCCGATCGGACAAATTCGATCAGCTCGCGGGCAAAATTGCCGAGAAGGCCGTCGAGAGGATCGCCGAGATGCAGAACGGCGCAAACAGTACAAAAGACGACCCAATCTACCGCGTGTTGAACAATGTAAGCAGTTCATATCAGCCGAGCATCAAAAGCGGCGAGATCGGATATTTCATCGGTCAAGCACGGTCGCCTTTCAGCAACTTGAGTCTGAAGTACGCGGAGCTGATCAAAAACAGACCTGATGATAAAGTTGTCAACCAACGGCTAGAGCCGAAAGTCAACGAAGGGAAAACCAATACTCTAAACGTAGTTATACAAACAAACAGAACAGTCGACACCGCCACAAACGCCAAGGGGAAAGCGTTTTATGGTTTTTACACAAAAAGTTTGAGCGTGTACGACACGGATGAGAGACGAGAAGAGAGAGCGATACTCAGGAACTTCCCTTCAAAATCCAAACAAAGCGTCGTCCGAACAACAACGAACAGCGATGACAAGTCGAGTGACGAGGACGATTCCAGTGGGAGCAATATCGAGGATCCGCCCCTCCTAAACACCACTTCGATGTACGCCTTCGACGGAGACGAAACGGATCTAGAAAGTTCGGAGGGATCCGATGAGCAGGCGGAAAACCATAAACAAGAGAGTGCGGAGCACGCCGAAAATGGCGTCGCCAATTCGAGCAGTGTCAAAACCAAACGAATTCTCGGCAGGGAAAATCATCGGTTTTACGTTTTAGACTCGTCGTCTGAATACGACGCTTACGAAAACCAATTTTAACAGTGCTCATTGGCGTATTCATTGAAAAACAACAAAAACAAAAGAAAGAAGAAGAAGGACAGACTAATTTTCAACGACAAGAACAGCTAACGTTTTATGTAATTTCACAGACAATGACAATTTAAAAAAATTTTACACTATTCTCGGATGCGTTTCATTTGAATAGCACACAAAATTGTTTATGGTGTGTAATATAATCATAGTACTAAAATAACTCATAAACTGCCGAGTGACAATTGTTTACATTTAAGCTCAAGTGCAAGCAAACACTGTAAATTTTTTCTTATCATTTTATTTAGGCTATCCCTTATAGAACAATCGTGAGAAAGTTACGATAAACGAAATGCCCCTTCGCCCCCAGCCAACATTTAATGCAGTCAACGGCCATCGGGGTCACGGTCCGCACCGAACATCGACCGGTGACAATCCTGTCCATTAGATAAAGCACGCATGAGCACATGCGCGTCGCTTCTTGTATCTTGTATTAACTGATGTTTTTGCTTTCAGTCCCGAGACTATTAAAGCTTCATCTAACGCCGAACCGGTGGGCCAGCTAGAACCCACGGGTTTGGGTGCGCGTCGCTTATTAAAGTGGAGGAGCGTGCCAAGCTGTGGGACCTGGCTATCTCGCGTGTTCTGAGCTCGATGAGGCTTTATACTGTAACTCAAAATAACGTTCAATATCAAAACATCTTTATTCAAATAGACTTGCGCGTTCTTATGAATCGTCAAATTATATGTTCGTAAGGTACCACCGGTTCGGAAAGCAGTTTCTGTTGAGAAGAGACCGGCAAGAAACTCAACAGTTGCTCTTTTTCAAAAATATCAGGTATAACATACAGGTATAATAGTATTTTTCTAGCCTACGTGAGTATCAACAGTATTAACTCCACACATTGGCGTCGTCGAGATATTCCGCAATGGTGTAATATGCTTTAACCATAAGTTGACTTTTAATTTTACCAAATACCAACTTGCTCAGCAAGGCGCGGCTGACTGGCTCCGCGCACCCTTCAAGGTCACAGCAGAGAAAAGTGACCTGTTTTGTTATGCTCTGAGTGAACTCACAAGAGTTGCAATGTGGACTATCTGTTACGATATTAGGTGTATTTAGTTTAAATTTTGGAAATATATACATATTTATTTTTATTAACTCGCCGAAGAACCGGAGTCACCGACATCGCTCTCCGGATTTGCAAGTTGAAGTGGCAGTGGGCAGGCCACATCGCTCGAAGAACTGATGACCGATGGGTAGTAAAGGATCCGAGTGGCGACCACGAACCGGGAGACGTAGCGTTAGAAGACCTCCCTCTAGTTGGACCGACGACATCATAAGAGTCGAGGGCAACCGAAGGATGCAAATCGCAGTGTCGTTTGTTGTGGCGTTCTAAAGGGGGTATACGCTTGCGCGTACTTATGAAACGTCGAATTTTAGATAAAAATTCGTACATAAGATGATAAGTTCTTAAGTACTGAGTTAATTCAAAGGCCAATTCGCTTGTTGAAAGAACCATTTGTTGTTTCTGCATAAATAATGACAATAAAAATACATATTCGTAAGATTTTCATGAACGGAAAAAAAACTTACACTACATTTGATATTGAAGTTCCGTGATGTATCTCTAGGCGTAAATATAAACCGCACCCAATGCAAAAAGTACAGGCAAAAGATGTAACAAACAAAAAAGTACACCCGAACCTCCTCGTATTTAGGGTTCCGTACATCTCAACGTAGTGATTACATTCTCTCTGCTGCATTTCATGAACCGTGATAGTTAGACAGACAGTTGAAATTTTCACAGATAATGTATTCCTGTGGTCGATAAAACAACAAATACTTACTAAAAAACAGAATAAAAAATATTTAAGTGGGCCTCCCATGCAACAGATATGATTTTTTCGCCGTTTTTAAAGATAATGGTACGGACCCTTCGTTCGCACGTCCGACTCAATCTTGTCGGTTTTTTATGAAAAGTTGGCAAGCGAGCAGGCAGTTCTACTGACATAACGAGATAACATTGGCTTGAAGATGTATTACAGGCATCAAAAAAGTCGCCTCACTCAACAGACGGACGTGACCATTCGTATATCAACCAAAGTATAATACCATTCGTTTTACCTTTACTTATAGTTCTTTGTACAAACATGATTACATTAAATATCAATAGAAATCAATGGAAAATAATTTGGGGTCAAGGGGCCTCCACTCCTTTGTTGCCCCGAGGCCTCCAGACCTCTAAATCCGGGCCTGAGCTGCTGTGTAGCCTTACAACAATGCATGCATTCATGTGATGTGTACATGGGTGGCAGTAAGACCAAACCATCTGCTGAATATTCACTACAGATAAAAAAATATTCTAATGACATGCTAAGTTTTACAGAATGAGTATGGAGTAGGTTAGAGAGCAAGCTTATTAAATTTTAATAAATTTTGACATAAATAACTGGTCAAGAAACTTGAGCAAACGTTTATAAAGGAAATTAGTTTGCTACCATGGATTTGTATTTTGTGTGGAAAGGGTTGGGTAATTCCAACTTATTAGTACCAACAACCTACCAACCTACCAACAACCTTACAAGATCTATTGTAGCCTTCCCTTCGATATTACTGCAGGATAACATTTTTCTGTGTTATAATGATGTTTTACGTACATTAATTTCATGTGGACAAAAAATCTGTAGGTCACACAGTTGTGTCGTTTGAGAATGGAACCTACGACCTCTAGCACCGAGTCATCTGCTACTGTGGATAAAAATGGAAAATGGAAAAAGGCCAAACATCACTACAATGTTAAACTTAAAACAACTAAACATAACTTGTACATCAGCACAACACTATTGTTGTCTACAATATATATAATATAGTAACTACCTAACTACAGTATATTTTATTAAAAAAAAAAACTGTTAACAGTATACCATAATTGTATTATAAATTTTTTAAATATCTATTACCTATTTAAGAACAAATGCACTCATTCAAACAAAATCTTCCTTTTTCAGTATCCCTAATCTTTGATTATATAACTGAAGTTATTGCAATGAATATAATGTTACATCTTTCATATCACAAGTGTTTCACATTTCAGTATAAAATTTGGTAAAGTCTCAGCAACAGCTGACAATTAAAACAGTTGTATATTATTACTTTAAAATTGTTCGGGAAACTTGTTAGTTTTCCATTAGCTGGACAGATTGGATTTTAATGTTAACAAATTAGTCAAAAAAATTATGTAGATTATGCAGCACCAACATTCAACACTGAAACAAGCTATACGAATTCTTGGAAGCATGTAAGGAAGTGTATATTCACACTTAACAACTCCACAAAGAAAATCAAAATATTTGCCGTTAAAGTTCTATCAATAAATTTTCATTCACTGCTCGCTTTGCATATTAACTTTACTTTTCCTCCTGATTCGTGGCGCCTTCGTCACTTTCAGCAGTGCTTTGGCAACGGCCTTCTCGAAGTCAACCGGTTTCGCCTTGTACCTCTTTTTCGGTGGTGGCTCGACATGTTTACCCGCCAGAAGGTGTGCCAGTGGGTTGACGTTCACAAGGGTTGTCCCGTCTGGCAGCTTTATGCTCTGCGAGCTGGGGTCCTCCTCATCCTTTGTCTCCTGTTTCTTCAGAACCTCGTCAATCTTGACGATCTTGTAGAACGGCGCCTCCGGCAGCAGATGGGCTATGTGGACGTCCTTGTAGACTTGCGGCAGATTTGGTATAACGATCTTGTGCATTACGTTCACCGGCTTTTGTAGTTCCTCCGTTTCCTCCAGCATCACCTCTTGCGCCACCTCGGGGATGACAGTTTCCACTGGTTCACCTTCATCATAGTCGTTCGGCTCTGTCTCTTCGCAGTCGTAGCTAACAGGATTGTCTTCCGTTCCGTGTTCGGGGGAGTAGAAGTTCATCTTGCGCGGAGTCTGCCCCTGCACCAGCTTGATGCTGACATTGCACTCCTCCCTGGGTGTTTGTTTGAACCGTTCAGGTAGCTTCAGCTTGACGGCGCCAAGTTGGGGCTCCGGTTTGAATCTCGTCAGCTTTATTGTGGGAGATTTTTTGGTAGGAGCAACCACAGGTTTTATTGTGACACTGTTATTAATTTTGATAGTCGCCTTACCCCTTTTGGTGTTGGCATCGTTGGCCTCTGGCGTGAAGTTCTCTATGAACTTCTTGACTGACAGCTTGTCTACCACCTGCGTCACTTTAGCCACTGCCCCGTTGCGCTCGGTGTCGACTTTTTTTATTGTCCTCAAAAACCTCTCTGTTGCGGATTTCCTGTCTGCTTGAATCTGAGCATCAATGCTAGCTTGGTGGAGGTTGTTCTTTCGGCGTTCTAGCACGTTCCTCAGGGTCTCCGTCAGTTTGGAGCTCGAGTGATCTTTGATTATGTGACTTTTTAGTTTCTCCTTTGACTTGAACATTTTCGGGCACTTTATGCACTTCTTGTTCTCGTGCGTCTGATGCAGGCTCATGTGGTGGTTGTAATTTTGATACGTGTAGCAGTACTTCTTGCAGATTTTGCAGGTGAACTTGCGCCGGTTCTTCTTCATTTCTTTGGACCTCTGGTGCCAGTCCGGAAAACGGAGCCTCTCGATCTGTCTCATCCTCGTGCGTCTCTTGACTTGCACCAAGGGTTCCTCTTCAGATAACTCATCAGAGTCATTTTCCTGAGTCAAGTCTACGTAGAGCAACTCTTTGTTCTTCGTCTTTCGTTTGCGCTTGACCTTTTCCGCTTTTTTAACAGTCTTTTCTACATCGGTTTGTTCAGGATCCGTGCCGGTTGGGCACATGACTAAATCCACATCATCCTCAATGGCAGGGCCTGCTCCTTTCGTTTCAGCTCTTTGTGTGATTATGTTTCCTAACTTCATACTACTGTCACTGAGATGACTTGCTTTATTTTTAGTAGGGGTTTCCTTTTCGTCTATATTTTTTACAATGTCTCCAGGATCTAATGGATCATCAGTGAAGTATACATGAAATTTTTCATCAAACTTAACTGTTCCAGCACTTTTATGGTCCAACTTTATATGCAGGGTAAATTGTTTTCGCAATTTGAATGTCTTATCGCAAGTCTTACATATGAAAGGTTTCAAATCTTTGTGCTTCATGAAGAAGTGGCTGAATAACTTTTTTGGATGGTTGAAAACGTCATTGCAGTAAACACAAAAGTATTTATAGAGATGCATGTCTTTTGTATGAGTTCTATCAATATGTTTGTCCAGTGCCACCTGACCTACAAATTCCCTATGACAGTACCTGCATACTTTAATTGAAAATGTGGTCTTATGCATTTTTGTCTGATGATCAGCCCTTTCAGTTATTGTTTCAAAGATTAAATTACAAGAACCACATTTAACAGCCTGACATGATTTTGAATGATGCTCCAATTCATCATAGTCAAATGTTTTATTACATCTAATACATGTCCCTTTTAAATCAGTGTGAAGTATGTTATGGCATTCAAGATGGCTGGCAAAGTGTCTTTGCAATCCCACTTTTTTTCTGTAAACATTACAGCATCTATCGCAGACTAGTGATCGGCAATTCTTCTGTTGAAGATGCTGCATGTAATACTCTACGTCTGAAGTGCTTATTTTACATCTCTTGCAAGTGTATTTGTAACTTGTACCTAATGACTGTAAGAATGCAGGTGCACTTATGTTGAGGAAAGAGGAGAGTAAAGAATAGCACTCCTGCAACAGCACACCATCTTTACTCTCTCTATGTTGGAAATATTCATGTTGTTTCAAATCGATAATGTTGTTGAAAATCGAGCCGCAACTTGAACAGGAATACGCCGATCTAGGACCAAGGTGCTTCCTCTCGTGTTTTTTAACGTCGGATCCGTGGGGGAACGCCCTCATACAGTATTTACAGCACCTTATGTTCAGTATGTGAACGTCGCAAAGATGCGACGCGTACTCCTCGATGCTGGCGAATATCGAAGAGCAAAATTGACAGTACCGCGAGCGGCTCGTCTCTGTTAAATGCACTTGCTTGATGTGCAATTTTAAGTCCTCATCGTCGAGGAATTCGGCGTAACATATATTACAAATAGTGTCAACGCATAACACGGTTTCCGGCATTTCAAACATCTCGAGATCACTCCCGCTTACATCATCTTCTATTTTGTTACGTGTTTTCATGTTTAATTAAACTTTTTAACTGTATCGAATTGATATACTTTTTATTATATCACGTATTTACTAGCAATCTACAATATATAAAAAATAGTTTATTTATAACTAGTTTAATTAACGGCTTGGGATTTCTCCATACAGAATAATTTGGTGACATTGACAAATTGAATGTCAAAACTCCTGCTTTAAGAAATTATTAAAATTTAAGAACAATCGGTTACAGCAAGTAAATTACGAAAATAATTAATTTACACAAACAATTAATTTAGGAGAAACAATCGTTAACGAAAATGAGAATCAAAAATAATCAATTCGCAGAAACAATTTATTTTTGTACAAAAACACCTTACTCATTAATAATATTGAAGTATTAACAGAATGGAAAATATTTTATAATGGCACCATGATTATATTTACTTGTTATCTTGGCTAAGTTTCACTATCAATCGCGGTACAAGTCCAAACTACAGTTACACAAAAAAATCTATTTTATTCATTTATTTATTTTATTTAGAACTGGCCAGCAGCACTTGACTGCCTCACACCTGATAGTAAGTGGCGATGCAGCCTTTGATGGTAAGCGCGCTATTAAGCAAATATGTTAAACTTAATTTGTTGTAACAATATAAAATTATTACAACTTTCGTGAGATATTATTAACGTAATAATAAGACGGCTGAACTCACGTAAACCCGTTGTATGTACGGACTAGTTTCGGACTTATCGGAGGTCCTTTATCAAGGTAAGTGAGATTAGTTCGCGGTCGCGCTCTGTCTCGCACTGCGCGCCTAAGTAGCAAAAAACGGCCTCAGAATGTGGAGTGAGTCCCGGTATATTTACCATATATACGAGGGGTAACGGATCAAATTGGACACCTGCTACGCCGTAGACGTAGCATCAGGACAATTTTCCGCCCCATGACACAGATAAGAAGTCTCCTACGATCGCGTAAGGATCGGGACCCTCTAGAAGGCCCTGGCGTCTACGAAGCTAAATTGGAGAAATGGGACGCAACATAAATACTAGGCTCACCGAACACATCCGGAGTATACGAAAAATGGACAGCAATACCTCGGCGGTGGCAGAGCACTCCCTTAACTCCGACACCTCACATTTTATTAGGTTCGATAAGATGAAAGTGCTAGTTCGTGAGAAGAACTTCATGTCACGGAAGCTCTTGGAGGCCATCGAGATCGAACGCCGGGCTAATTTTAATAGAGACAAGGGATGGGCTCCGCCGCCTACTTGGATACCCGTGTTGTTGAATGTGATACGGAATAAGAACGGTGCTAGCGATTGTGTAGTGGACATAGTGAGTACATTTTGTGCGCCCCAAAACACCAATAGTGACACTAGACCAATCTCGCCGGACTCGTCACCATCGCCGGCGCAACCCGCGCCCCCCGCTCTGTCAATCCGCGCGCTGCGAGCTCAGGCGCGCAGTGCGAGACGAGGCGCGACCGCGAATTAATCTCACTCAACCTGATGAAGGACCTCCGATGAGTCCGAAACTAGTCGGTACATACACCGGGCTTACGTGAGTTCAGCCGTCTTATTATTACGCGTAACAATATATGTACATATTTATCACACACTATAAAACAACACTATAAAACAAACTATTAATTTCCAAGGGTTAAAATTTGACAAATCGTTTTATATTAGCAGGAACCTACAATCAAAATTACAACATCCTAGCTAAATGTACTGATATAAGTGACTAGCCAAAAATTATCTTTTATTTCTGAGAAAAAAAAAACGAGAAAAAAAAAAAATTAGAACTTAGCAATAGATAAAGGTTAACATTATATAAAATTAAAAATATTTAACATGTGTACATATATTTTTCTTAAAGCAAGGCTGTGCTGAACTGTCGAATTACACTTAAAATCGTAGAAAATCATAGTACGAAAATTTTCCCGAGTTAAATTCATGTTAATGTAGACACGCAATTTTTAAAATGGCGCCACAATTTAAAACAATTGACAGAGATAAACAAACTGCATTCCACAGCCAAAGAGTTCTATTTACAAATGTTATAATTACTTTTCAAATATTTTTTATGTAAGTGGCCAGTTCCGGAAACTTTAAGTGCGACCTATGTGGACACATCATGTATTTTCGTCTCTCTAAGGAAAAACTTAAACACAGTAATTAGTTTATGACATAAACAATAATTAGTAAATCTATCTTCTTATATATAAAAATGGATTGCTGTTCGTTAGTCCCGCTAAAACTCGAGAACGGCAGCACCGATTTGGCTAATTTTGGTTTTGAAATGTTTGTGGCAGTCCAGAGAAGGTTTAAACGATGAAAAATTATGGAAAAATTGCATGGAAAATAGAAATAGCAACAATTTTATTTCCGTTCGTCCGGGGAAGTCTTTTCCGTTTACACTTTCAGTCCGTAGGTTCACTATATAAGAGCATACATCATCGGCCACAGAGCTCGTGGAAAGGCTTCTTTTGAACGAGCTTAAAATACCCTAGCCAAGTGTATTAACAGAATGAGGAGATTGCTGGCAAAGGGCCGAGGGATCCGGTATGCGGACCGTGACATCAATGCCCGTCGACTGTGTTAATCGTTAGCTGGTAATTGTCTTTTTTTTTTAATGTGATAAGTTGCCAAACGAGCAAACGGATCACCTGATGGTAAGTGAATACCGCCGCCCATGGACATCTGATACACATGAGGGATACAGAGGCGTTGACAACCTTTTGAAAATTGGGCTCCAGCTACCTCACTCACCAGACGAAACGCGAAAGTATTTGTCTATTGTCATACTTCCACTTTACGCTGGTCTTCTGTGAGGTCGTGGTACTTACCCGGACGGGCCTGCCCATTCGTGCAACAGCCGAGGCTGCTGCGTGGCCCTACCACCGTAACCGAATTGTGCGAACCATCCACTCACAGTAGGTAAGTGAGAATTATTATACTTTTCCAGCTGGTCTGGTGAGTGAGGTAATTGGCCCATTGTTTTGAAAGGTAGTTTGCTGTGTTTACCAACTGAGGATTGCGATGAGTGGCACCCTTTTCGAAGAAGGGATTTTGAATAATAAAAACGTATAAATTTAATTAACAAAAGAAAAGCATTAACAAAGAATATATTAATATTTATAAAATTCTCGTGTCACAATGCTAGTTGACATACTCCTCCGAAAAGGTTTGATCGATTTTTATGAAACTAATTTATTTTTCTTACTACTTTAATCTATTTTTCATGCTCTTAAATTCTAACGGCAGTTCACCCCATTTTTTCTATGCTAAAAATTCCTTAGAAGTTTTTTATATGGCAAAACGTCAGGGTCAGTTACTTTATATATATAATAATATAGCTTTCACATGTTTGTTTCCAAAGAACTCAAAAACTACTACTAAACATAACCGACGATTTAATATTTGTTCATAAAGTAGTTTTTGAATAGAAGTGTTCGTATATAATTTATTTAAAGATAAATAACAAAAACTTTCGGCGGTGTAGGATTCGAATCTGCGTTTTCTGGTTTCGCGCCCAGACTTTACTAACTATGCTAAGTGGCCGATGATCTTACGGCGCGTAATTCTCGAAGTCGCGACATTTATTCAGGTTATTTCTATTGCATTTTAGCAATGCTTGGCGCCATCTAGTGTGCATTCTTTACAGCATACAACACTACAAAGAACATTCAACGATGAACACTTGTAACGAGAGATGTCGACATTGCTTTTATATTATTTTTTATTCCGTAGTTACAACGGAAACGGAAACAGAAGCTACAGCGAAGCGTAAAGCCGGTTATATATAAAACCTAAAAAGTTTTTAATAAAATATACACAATTTTAATTTCTTTAATAATGTATTGCGGACAGTTTCGACACATGTCCGTCACTGAAATGTTTGATAGTGACCTATAGTTAAGAAATACTGATTATCAACTCATCGGTACAATGTAAATGGATTTTATTTATGACTTTGGTTCGTTAAAGAGCTTTATCCCTTCTACATTACGGAGTAGCGTAACATACGGCGAGAAAACTGAGAAGGTAATTTTAATAAATTCGTATTTAAACTCACGACATCAGGTCCACGAGTTGATGCGTCCCCTCACTAGAATCTAATAAATAAATAAAATGATTACAAAGTCACGGTCGTTCTTTGCTCTTTATCCGCCTCTGCCCTTGAGACTTACAGTAAGCAACTGTTTTATTCATGTACATACAACAACAGGGGGCAGAAATAGAATATATTATTTCACTCAAGTTATCATGAAAAATTTTAGGAAATAGAAAGTAATATAACTAAATAAAAAAGTAATATAACGAACTAAAAAAGGGAGTCAGTCTGTCCTGTGACCATGAACGCTGGAAAGAGTTCGAAACGTCGGGAGTTCAAATCAAAATAAAAAACGCGATAAAATCCGTAAACTAGTTTGATTTAATATATAAAAAAGTGACTTAAAATTTTGTTAGAAATCATTCAAGACAGGGACGGGAATTACAATTTGTAATCAACGCCTGAACGAAAACAATTGAGATTTAGTTTCTTGTTTTAACTTAAACATAGAATTCGGTCTTCTGTGAGGTCGTGGTAATTACCTCGACGGACCTGCTCATTCGTGCAACAGTGAAATCTGTTGCGTGGCTCTACCACAATTATTACGTAAAGTAGATTTCCTAGTTACACTTCTGCCTTTCATCTTGTGCTACATAGTTCTACGTAGAACTTAAACATAAAAGGCAAAGTAGAATAACTTAAATTTCTAATTCATTCTATTTCTTGCTACTGCTAATTTCACGCTAATTTAAGCGTATCATATAAGACGATCTATTCCGATTCCAAGAAGCCGAAATTTATGATGGTATTTTGAAATTGATCGATTATTACGGTTTTCTCCTATAATATTAAGTCGTAATGTTATGAAACCCAAAAATTAGCTAATATTTCCATTTTTAAATCCAAAAAATTTAACCTCGTTAATTTGGCATGATCGAACTCCTAATTTAGGAATCCCAGACATGCTGATGGCTAACATCACCAAGTTCTCGTGTATAATAATACATATATAAACAATTGATACAAAAAGCTCTTTTCCTAGTTACGGTTCACATTAAGACAGATTTATGCAGATCTGAACTTTTGTCCAAGGTAAATTAAAATAATTTAAACGTCATCACATTAAAATAGATAATTATATTACAGAATCTCTCTAATAACAATTGCGTTCTATTTACACCTTTATTCTAGCGAAGCAATAGCTCATAATCATTTCATAATATTATATACTGACATTAAGTAATTTTGTCAAAGTATTAAAAATCTTTGAGGAATAAAAATTCTAATGGAGCTCGAATGAGGTCTTGTTGAAAACGTTTTACTTGAAATATTAGCTAGAACGATGATGTCAAGTTATCAGTAAATAAAACTGTGTAAACAACTCAAGGTGACCGTATTCATAAATTATGGATACCATTTCACGCTCCGCACTGAATGTAGCATAATGATTGGGCTCATTTGATATAGTTGCGAAAAGACTTGAAACGAATAAGTTGATAGACCTATTGAACATTAACATAGTAGAAAACACAAAAACTTAGACGTTTTAGTGTCCACGAGATTATTACATCGGGTTTTATCAGGTATAAATAAAAACTAAAGTAAAACTCTTTTGAAATATGTAGAGAATATTATATGTGAAACATCAACTTTTTTGCAATTGAATATTTAATAAATTACAATATAAAAGTAGTTGTTGCAACTGACGCCGTTTAGCCGTAACAATACGTTTATATTTAATCTGTATCAACGTCTTCGTATATTCTTGCCACCACTATTGCCTAACATGTCACCATCAGACTGTCAGATGCCCGTACACATAATTTAAGCGGTACATAACTGCCATGCACAAAATCAAGATTTTCAGGTAATTATTAGAATATTAAATGTGATAAAAATGTAATTTTTACATACACATTTAATATTAAAACATTTCTTAATATTTGCATCATCACTCTAACCCCACTTTCCATTCGTATGTATACGGAGATATTTTGAAGTTTTCCCTTTTTGTTTTATTTACTTTCAAGTTATTTTTATCTTTATAATGCGTCTGGTCTCATTTGATCTTTTATCTTTGTGTTTGCCTTTTAAATTAAGTTTAAGATTGCGGAGGTAAAACGTTAAGGAAAAACGTAAGCAACAATATAATCATTGTTTACTAATTGTCCTGACTTTAACAGTACAAGAGATGTTCAGAAATTTTTCGTTTTGTACGGCCTTAATAATAGTAAAAAATGAACGTTTTTGTTTTTACTTGTTTAGGCTAACCTAAAAAAGGCGTGAAATGTTTTATATTGTTATTTTGTATTTTGTATTATTTCACAAAATATTTGTTGACTATTTAATTTGTATAAAATAAATTTAACACTCTTCACCTGATGAAAGTTTTGACAAAGGAATTTTAAAATTGTGTTTTTAGGTTAAAAATGGTTTTCTAAATGTATAAATAAAAAGTTAACTTCACGTTCATTTACATTAGGGTTAGTTTTAACTGAAATGTATTAACAGCTTTTAACTCATGATAGTTCCGTAACAATTGTTTTATTGGTCATCTGTATTTCATACAATGTTACTTAACATGGCTGCAATATAATGACCCCATAATAAATAAATAAAAATGTTTTTTTACACATCATTCCCTTATGTGAAAAGTTGCCAAACGAGCAGACGGTTCAACTTATGGTAAGTGAATACCGCCGCCCATGGACATCTGCTACACCGGAGGGTTATAGATGCGTTGATAACCTTTTAAAAATTGGGCTCCTGCTACCCCACTTACCAGACGAAACGCGAAAGTATTTTTCACACTTCCACTTTACGCTGGTCTTCTGTGATGTCGTGGTACTTACCCGGACGGGCCTGCCCATTCGTGCAACAGCCGAGGCTGCTGCGCGGCCCTACCACCGTTAGTCTAGTTCCAAACTAAGCAACGCTTGTACTATGGGTACTAGAAAACTCAACATAGGAATTAAGCTTTGTAGAGGCAGTGCTTGATTAAGCTTTATGTGGCACTGATGACTGAAAGTAAGAACTTTAATGAATATTGAACAATATTTCATAATCATTTTTTAGTCTTACCTCTTTAGTTTTAGTTTTGTATTCTTATTATTCCGGTTTTGCTGTCCTGTTGTCTGTTAATTTTTTTTTATTTTAATAGTATTTTATTAAATACTACTCTTTCTTATGAAAGAAGTCATCTGTTGCGTAGCTTGGTTGGTAACGCATTTGGGCATGTTACCCGAAAGATTCCAGTTCGAATCACCAAACACTGAATGTTTTTGCCGGATTTTCTAGAAAAAATCACATTTTAATACTAATCACTTTAATTAACTAATATCTGTGAAGAGATTATTAATATTATTGATAATTATTAAGTTCTTGGGAAGATCAACTCCCAGTATTTTTTGTTAAATTTAACTTTATAAAACATTAATATTGTTAATGTTTTATAAAGTTAATTTATAAAGTTAATGCTTGAAAAGTTGTTTCACATATCTAACTAAAACTAAAAACTTGTATTATGAAATGTACCATGCATCAATATCCAAAATAGTTTTAAGTAGTTTTAAATTTTTTTTAACATGGTTTTATGTGTAGCAACTAGAAATACCTTGTATGCAAAGGTTTGAAAGTAAAATTTCATTATGAAGATTCCATAGGCATAAGCAAGAAGATTTGTTGCACAACTAGGAATGTACTATGGGCTTCTAGAATATTTGCAATAGTGGAAGTATTTATATTCTTTTGTATTGTGAGGAGCATGATGGGTTTTGAGGTCTACGGTGTTCGTGATCTTTTACCATTTTGTTGTACACAGCAACTAGTGTTCAAAGTAGAACCAATTACGACAGAGGAATAATATTTACCGCAGCCGTTGCTCATATTTTATCCTGCATTACTTACATTTAACATTTTTCAAATTCCAGATCTTGAAATGCGGCGTTAACCATCAACCACACAGTCATTACAAGAACAAAATTCCCTTTTTAATTTTCCAAGACTTTCCGGTTTCCAAAATTTAGAGGACCACACGCACAAAAACACGACCACCTGGGCACATTCGTACGGGCACGTGAAAAACTACACCAGACCGCTTAAATTAGCCATAGAAGCTCGCTGTAGCTCGGCAACACTGACTTGATAGTCTTGGCAAGCGCCGAGACGGGTCGCCCTAGCTGTAAGAATCAGTGTACAGATATAAAATATTTTATAGACTGTTTTTTTATTTTATTGAAGAGAGATATGACCGAGATGGACAAGTCCATAGACGGCATCGCCAGGGACATGTCTGAACTGAACCTCCTCTCCTTCCGGAAGTTGGACGATGTGAAGAGGTTGGCGAAACACTTCCGGTACGTCATCAACCACCCTTCGACGCAAGAGTGTGCCGTGGTGCACCGCTACCTCAGCAACCTGGACCAGTTGCACAAGAGCGTGTTCCTCAGCAAACGCGACGGCGTGGAGGTGGAGTACATATTCACCACGGAGAAGAAGAGCAGCCTCCAGAGGCAGCGATTCAACAGTCTTCCAGTGAGCGAAGTGCCTGAACTGCTTAAAGCGGAATTCCTAACTGTCGATAACGCAAAACAGGTGCACATATGCACCGAGTGCGACGTAGAAATAGAGCTGTGCGACGACACCCCACTAGTGGAGTGCCTGCAGAAACATTTTAGTTCGGACGCGCATTTACCCAAGCTCAAGCGCGAGAGCATAGACGTGGCGGAGCCGATAGCGCTGCCGAAAATGTCGCGGCGGCTGTCGGCGCTGGAGAGCGGCGACAACCACAACGCCGAGCAGATCATCCAGCTCCTGAAGCCAGTGGAGAGGCTGGACCGGACCTTCACGGCCGTCCTCGAGGCGGCCTTCGTCCGTCTACTCGCCGACAAGTCCGAAGCGAGCATCGACGCCGCCATGCGCTTCTACCAGGAAGCCTTCGACAAGCTGTGCAAGGAGACCAACACTATCGACTTCTCCACGCAGACCGGCTCCGTCGCGCCGATCATAATGAGCATAAGGGACAACGTCAACCAGAACTTCGCCGCGGACGCGAACAGGAACTTCGAGAGCGAGGACACCGAGCAGGTGCCCGAGAGGCCGGCGAAGAACGCCGTCAAGAAGTACCGCTACTACGGCCCGATCGAGAGCATAACGATCAAGCTGCTGCTAAACCACAAGCTGCTGACCCTGGTCGACGACAGGACCGGCAAGCTGGCGTTCTTCTGCGCGGCGTGCGAGTACTACACGCTCAGGTTCAGGTACGACAGCGTGCTGGGACACGTGTTCAGCGACACGCACGTGCACAACCTCGCGTGCATCATGCAGGCGGACAGGAGCATACCGTTCTCCGCCGCCCCCACCATGGAGAGGGTGAGGGAGCTGAATGTAGAGTTCCTGCGCAGCCACTACGTCAACGAAGAGGCGGACGGCGCGTACTGCGCCCTCTGCAAGCTCTCGTTCGAGCGCGAGTCGATAGTAGCGCACGTCCTCGACGAGGGCCATCTGGGCAGGCTCTCCGACAAGCTGTACCGCAAGATGAGGGCGAGCAACCCGGACGGCTCGGTGCCCGAGGAGTGGGGCCCGAAGTCGCTCGACTGGACCAAGTTCCTCGCCAGCGTCGGCAAGCCGCTCAGCGGGCGCGACCACGTGGTCGTGGAGAACTTCATCCGCCCCTCCGGCAAGGTCGCCAACTACTGCTCCTGCTGCGACATGACCCTCAAGGGCCCCAGGCAGGTGCTGTTCAACCACATACGCCAGAAGAAGCACCTGCGCAACGCGGCGCCGCACAAGCTGAGCACCCTGTACCGGAACCACTGCCGCCCGTCGGAGTACTACGCCAGCTTCGGCAACTACTACCTGTGTGCCGTCTGCCCTGAGTACGTAGCGGTGCCGTCGTTCGCCGCGATAGTCGAGCACTTCGAGAGCGCCGGCCACGTGGAGGCCATAGCGAAACTAGTGCGGTCGGCGCTCGGCGGGGAGGTGGACGAGGGTCTTCTGTCGGCCAACGGCATCAGGGTGGCGGACTGGACCTGCGAGCGCTGCTCGGTCCCGCTGGCGGACGCCAAGGAGGCGGTCCACCACGTGCTCTCCAGCGTGCAGCACCAGAGCGCCGCGGCGGAGGCCAGAGCCAGGGCGAACCGGGGCGACATAATCGCCGTGTACATGCGCGGCAACTACGTCCTGCACAGCGACGGCGCGACGTTCCACTGCGCGCCCTGCGACTCCACCTTCAGCTCGATCCGCTCGCTGCTCATGCATCTAGTCTACGCCGAGCACTTCGACGAGCGGCCGGCCGCCGAGGGCGTGTTCCGCTTCTACCTCGAGCTGAAGCACAACGTGGCGATGCTGGCGCGGAACCGGTACGCGTACAGCGAGTTCGGCACGCTGCGGTGCGGCGTGTGCGACGCGCAGCTGGCGGAGGGCGAGAACGCGAAGAGGCACGTGATGTCGCCGCGCCACAAGGAGAGCATGGGCGCGGGGTACGCCAGCCTGGGCCTGGACGCGGCCAATATGGAGTGAGGTGAGCTCTCTGCCCGTCTCCCTCCCTCTCCACCGAGCCTCTCTGCCTTTCTGTCCTTGTCCATCTCCCCCGCCCCTTTTTTGATGGAGTGAGGTGGGCTCTCTGCCCGTCTCCCTCCCTCTCCACCGAGCCTCTCTGCCTTTCTGTCCTTGTCCAACTCCCTCCTTCCCCTTTTTTGATGGAGTGTCCAACTCTCCCGATATTATATACAAAGATATAACAGAATCGCGGCGAAACTGATACACTCGAATTACACCAATTGGTGCAATCAGATTGCAATTCTATAGACCGCTATCCCTTTCCGTATCGTTCGTCTTCAGTCTTGTGTGTCTTCAGGTCGGTACGAGAATGGTTCAGATTCACAATTCGTTTCACTACATTTCTTTTATTTATAAGTTGTCGCAATTATGTCGTGGGTACAGGACAACGTCTGTCGGTTCCGCTAATGTCATATAATGTAAAGCGTAACGATTTTCAAGCGGCGCGGTATGGGCATGCGTCGTGTTTGTTAATACATCGTTGGGGGCATTCTCGTTCTGTTGTTCTAGCTGACCATCGCGCGTCGACCGGTGCCGAACGAAGGGGGAAGATGGGTGGGGAGAGGGGCCCATGTGGACGACTCCATATTCCAAACGCCGCGTCTACGGGATGAGTGAAGATTTTAAATAAAGAGTAATTTTTATAACCGCAACCTGGTTTCATTTCGGACCGCGATTAAGGTGGTAAGGCCACGCAATACTGTTGCACGAATGGGCAGGTCCGTCCGGGTGAGTACCACGACCTCAAAGGAGACCGGCGTAAAGTAGAAGTGTTGCAGTTCTGCGTTTCGTCTGGTGAGTGAGGTAGCCGGGGCCCACTTTATTGGAGGGTGGCAACGCATTTGCAAGCGTACGGGTGTTGCAACTGCTCATGGGCGGCGGTTGTCGCTTAACCTCAGGTGAACCGCCAGCTCGTTTGCCACTTTTTCACATAAAAAAAACCGGCAGACTGTCAAGGGCCGAGTCGAAAGAGACGTGTCAAGTACACAAAGTAAGAGCCTATACAAGTCCCACTGGTGGGCAAAGGCCTTTGTACAGAGGGTTTTAGGCATAGTCCGCCACGCGACCCCCCACTGCGGATTGGCGGACCACATATCTTCACATATATATTTTTAGACTTCCGTACCTTTTCTCTTGTCCGTCTGTGTGTCAGTGTCTCACCACCGATTCTCTCAGGGACGGGTGGACCTGGCAAGTTGAAATTTCTACTGTAGCAGTGGCGGGGCTGCAAAGCTGAATGGGGCCCTTGGTTTAAGAAGTTGATCTAATTTAACAAGCTTTTTACTAAAACTTTTCACTTTACATTCGTATGAGCGTTTATGTTCATTTAATCCAAATTTTGCAAGAGGCATTTAAAACGGACTTGGATAAACGGAAAACTTTAAATGGACAAATAAAATATGGAAATGGATGAGGAAAATAAAATAAAAATTTTATTTAGGCAATTAGTAAAAATAAAGTAATAGATATTTTTTTATTGCTATTTCCAGTAACTTGTGTTTCAAAAGAAATTGGTTTCACTGAAGTTATTGAGGAGTTCAGTACGAAAAGACATATGCTTTAATAACAACATACTTACTGGTTACATTAAGTTAGCTTTTTAAATCAAAATGATCTTGTTCATTAATTAATTATAGGTATTAATATCTTTATTACCGTATCTATAATGACAAGATATCCTTTAGAAAAGGGCTGTGGATAGTTAAAAATACGAAGTGAAGTTCCCAATCAAATTTATTATGTCAATAAAATGCAACTGTGATTTGTGCTCTATCGTCTTCATAAGGTACATAAATTTTTTCTCAAGATGATATTGAATAAGGGCTTCGTTGTGTCAGTTTCTAGATTATTCTTAAGACGATTAGTGAAGATTACACGAAAAATAGTTTTTGGTATATTTCCGAGCTAAAAGCTCCATCATGTTCTAATTTTAAAACGCGGTAAGATATGCCTTTAAAATACGTATAGGTACCAATATATGAACATACGACAAAAAAAATGTAGTACATTAAATAAATAGTACCTGGAGGACTGTTGTTTGACTGGAGGTTTGTTTTTTTTTGGTAAATCGTGTATTTTGGATATCTATAGTAATGAAATATGCATAATATTTTTCGATCTTACCTACGAAAATCTTATGAGCTTTATTTTTATAAATAAATGTTTAAAAAACAATATAAACCATAAAAACAAAAAATAATAATTATTAGTAATTTGCCTTTATTAATTTATTTGACTTTAAGATGTATTTTTTATCAATTCCTTTTCCATTTAATTAAAAAAGTAATAATTGTTAGAAAATGTGTTTCCGTGGATCAAAATAAATATGCAGCTCTGCTTTCATGATTGGTTTATTCTCTTTAACTTACATCATTTAACACTTTATACTAGGTTTCACATGATACTACTTAATTACAATAATCAACTTAATCATCTTTAAATCACAACTACACCATCTTGACCAATTACACAGAGTAGAGAGTTTTGTCTATGCAGTCACAGAGCAACTAAAACAATAGCAATGTTACAAGGTACAAAATCATATTCTCAACACACCTCCTTGATTTTGTGCCTCTAAATTAAACTTTAACAATAAAACAATAAACAACCTAAAACTTAACCTTTGACAATATTTTACTTTAAACACAATCACTCATAAACACCTAGCAAATATCTAAACTTTAGAAATTTAATTTTACTTAAAGACTTTGTTAAAATGTCTGCTATTTGATCATCAGTTGAAATCTTTTGTACATTTATTAAACCCTTCTTTTCAAAATCATATACAAAATGATAGCTTATATCAATATGCTTAGAATTTTTACAAAATTTACCACTTTTTGCCAATGAAATAGCACCAGTATTATCCTCATAAAATATTAACAGGCTTATCAACAATAATACCTATGTCTTTTAAGACTCCTTTAATAGGCAGTACCTCCTCAACACAATCAGCAAGAGCATAGTATTCTGCATGTGTAGAAGCTCTAGTAACAATTTTCTGTTTTTGGGACTTCCATAACACAACATTCCCAAATATTCTTATTAAAAATCCAGTAGTTGACTTTCTATCTGAAACATCAGCTGCCCAATCAGCATCTACATAAATATCCATAACATCATTATAACTAGAATTATAGTGCAGCTTTAAAGACCGAGTATAATACAAATATTTTAACACACGCAAAGCATACTTATAGTGAGTCTCATTATAAGCTCTCTGAAAGCGACTTAAATAATTGGTTGCAAAAGATATATCTGGTCGAGTACCATTTGCAATATACAACAATGCTCCTATTAAATTTCTATATTTTAAGTTTTCATTACTTATTTCAGCATATTCTAATTTAAGATTAATTTCCATTGGTGTCTCATATTTTTTGCAATCTGTTACATTATATTTTTCAGCTAAACTCTTAATATAATTCTCCTGATTTAAACACAACTTATTTTCTTCAGGATTATATTCAATATCTATTCCTAAGTAATGCTTCAATCTTCCTAAGTCTTTCATATGGAAACGTTTATTCAACATTTGTTTTACATTTTCAATATCAGAATATATTTGACCCAGTATTAATATATCGTCTACATATAACATTATGTATGTATTATTTTCACTCCCATTTGACTTGATTCTATAAATCCACTTTACTTCTATTATCTTTTTATCCTCAGGTTCATCAACAATATCCCATGTTTTATTTTCAATCAAACTATTAATCTCATCATTCATTGCCTTTTTCCATTTTTTTGATTCTAAGCTATTCATAGCTTCTTGATAGCTCTCCGGCACAAGTGCATTTGAAAAATTTACATATACAACATAATCATCATATTTTGTTGGCATCCTTCTATTTCTTTGAGGATATCTTCTATCACTCACCTCCTTAACTTTTTCATTCTCACTTCTTTCCTTTTCTTGATTAATTTGTAGTTGTTCTCTATTTTGTTCATTTAAGACCTCAATTTCCTCTTCTTCATCTTCATTAATCATCTTTATACATTTTTTATCCTTTTCTACAAATGTTACATGCCTACTTATTATAATTTTATTTTCCACTAGTATCTTATATCCTGTATCAGTAAAACCTACAAGAATACCTTTTACAGCCTTTGGATTCAACTTTGAACTTCTTCGTTCTTCAGGAATTCTAACATATGCAACGCTACCATAAATTTTTAAATTTGACACATTAGGTTTCCTTCCAAAAAATATTTCATATGGAGTTCTCTTACTTATTGTATTAGTTAAAAGTCTATTTCCTAAATAAGCAGATGTAAGTATGCACTCAGGCCAATATTTCTTATCTATTTTTGCCTCAGCAAGTAAACACCTAGCACGATTTAATATTGTTCTATTATACCTCTCAGCAACACCATTTAATTCATGTGTATATGGAGGGGCTGGTTTTAAATAAATTCCTTCATCTTTAGCTAGTCTGTAAAAATCATTATTAATATATTCACATCCATTATCACATCTTATTTCCTTTATTCGCTTTCCAGTTTGATTCTGTACTAATTTTATATACTTTAAAAAACAATCATAAACTTCACTTTTGTTTTTAATACAATATACTATTGCAATTCTACTGAAATCATCAATAAAAGTGACAAAATATCTCTCACCTTTATAACCAGTTGGGTTCACTGGACCATGGACATCCGAATGTATGATTTCCAACAAATCTTTTGCTCGATATCTGTTATTTTCAAATGGTGAATTACACATCTTATTTTCCAAACATATTTCACATGTTATATAATCATTTTCAATATTAGCAGGAAAACCATCTAACAACTGAAGCTTACTTAATTCTTTTAAACTATTAAAGTTGGTATGACCGAGAATTCTATGCCACAATTCTTTATTTGTCATATTACTAGTGCTTGTGTATGATTCAGAAACATATTTATTTAAATTTACTTTTCCTGACAATTCAAACAATTTATTT